AAGTCTTCACAACAAGAGAGTTGAGACTGTTGTCTAGGTTTGGCTCCCCCCTTATTCTCGTGTTCCACAGACAAGCTATCAACAATTGAAATGACACCGCAGTGAAGTATCTGGAAAAGTTTCGTGTCGGAATTTTCCATACGAAATCCGTGATTAGGTGTCGCAAATGACACTACGGTTCTCCTTACATACGGGGAAGTGACTTGCCCCATTTTACCTGAAATATGTATGTTTTAGACTTGAGTATCACCATCTAGACCTGAAGCAATTGATGGTCAACAGGAGTACGCGGCTCCGAATCAGGTTGGCAGAACGAACGTAACTTTAGATCCAGTTGAAGCTGCCGTGGAGACCAAGTATGGTTCCTTGGTCTCATGCTCAGGTTTCGTTAATTTGTTATCCCTGGAATACATGCATTCAGCTTCGCTTACTGCCTTCTTCTACCCAGTAGAAAGTCTTGGGACGCTCCAAATCCAGGACTACGTATTTTGAGTCTTGGCCTCGCAAGTGTTCTAAACAACCAAGAATGTATAATTTACGGCATAATCTTTGCAAGTCTTTGCTGCTAACTTTTAGATTTCGCCGATTTTAGGTCATTTTGGCTCAAAATTTAAATAATTTTTTAATTAAACAATATCAGTAAACGTAATATGGATCACAAATCCCTTTCATCTCTTAAGTTATCTATAAAAGATAAAAAGTGAATCCAACTAAGAATTTTAATTGCTATCTGCACCAAAGTTGCCACGAAATAAGAATGACCAGGCCACTACACAAACATCTTATTGGTTATGGAAGACGGTTGGTCTACGGCCCTGCAGATAATTTGCTCCGTGGAGTCGGCATGCTGTGTTTTCGTGTCTAGCTCTGTCCATTACCAATACCATTATAGTTTTTGAACAGGTACATAGTTATCTGAATTTTCATCCAACCTCCAACACCAATCATTTGTTTATTACTTTTTGTAACACTCACGTGTGAATTAGTTATCACTAGTTCGGCTAATGATTGGTATTCAATTTTCAACTCCCAGGCACATTTTCAACCTCGAAGACCCACTGTTTAATGTTAGTATAGTTTTGCGTTACGTTTGTGGTATTAGTTTAAGATTTTGTGAGTACTTGATTGTGCGTTTTGTAATATTGGCGGCTTTGGGGTCGTTGTTCTTTGGATATTACTAATAATCTCTGTGGAAGTCGATTGCAACTTCTTGAGTATATCACAGTTCTCTTAGGTACCACAGAAGCATGTTCTTAATGCATATTATTTGTGGTCAACGTAATTATGTATGCTTTTTATGTTCTCTCCGCGTAGTGTTTTGGCAACCTATTCACTTGCTGCTTTTAGTTTTGTGTACGATGTTCTCTGGTGTTGACCTTCACGACGAGTCTTCGTCCTTTCCTTTTGATGATCTTGTTGGTGTTGTGAACGATGCAGACTTTAGTAAGTTTATCATTCTGCTAGCCTTATTTCCCCTATAAGCTTTGGATCTGGGCCCACAGGACATATTTGAAGATCCAAACCTTGATCTCTGCTTATTCGGCATTCCTGACGGAGTCCCTCTTGAACCTGTTGTCGATAACTCTGATAGCGATAGCGGTATTAGTAGTAAGTTTTGAGAATTGTAGGCATAATTCTTCTGAAATACTAGACAGATTCATACTCTTTCTCCTTTTAGATCATGGTGACAAGCTCCAGCCGTCTGCCAGCGACATCGAGCGGGGTAGCTTAAATCTCTCCGACCTGGATGCCTCGACGAACGCACATCCTCCAGTAACTGAGCTTGTCAACATTACTAGCACCGAGACCACGGTTTCTAAAACCCTCTCCCCGCAACCGAAACGCCCGAGGCCATCCGAGCCCCTCATTACGGGATCTCACGACACCGCCGCCCCGTCTGCCTTGGTCTCTCTCACTCCCGCTTTTTCCGATGGCGCTTCTCTCGTCAAACCTGAACTCTGTGGGTACACCTGTACGTTCGTTTGAGCCCTTAAAAGGCTTCGTTCCGTGGTTATTTTTTGCATAGATTTTGGGTTGATTAACTTGTAGCTTACTCGACCTTTCAATTCATTAACTCTTAGACCAAAGGCTAGTAAGATATGGTAGCTCTGCTTATTCAATCTTCTGAGAAATTCACTACCGGCTCCTTTAGATAGCTTTTGAAACCTTGGAATTTCTAAAGTTCCCTTTTTTGATGAATGGCACTTCAGCCAATACTCTCATCTGAAGCATATATAACAATAATAATTATGGTTTTGTTTTTCTTGTAGCTACAATTCGTCAAATTCCATCCCCTAGTCATATGCTACCCAAAATCCCTCGTATCCTTTCGCGTGGACAAAGTGTAAGTTTTCCTCGCTTTAAGCTTCACAAATGTGTCTGGCACATAAATGCATCATTTTGCATAGCTCACTAGTTCAATGAGATAAAACACAACATAAACATGACTTTTTTTTGCATGAATCGGAAGGTCATTGCACCTATGCTTGTCTGTTCTATTTGTTTCTTTCTCAATGGAAATCTATCAAACCGATGGGAAAAGCGGGAGCACGTCTTTAAACTGTACCCTCTCATTCCATCTTTCATCTGATTCATTGGAAATGCAGCGCCTCACATCGTAGGTGATTCGTACTCATTTAAGACATTATTCTCCTGCTGTTCCCTAGAATAGAGTGTGAACTCATCCCTTGGTAGAAGAGGGTGAGTCTTCTTGCTTGGCGTGGGTTGAGGAATTGTTATGGGAAGTTAATTGCGATTTACACCTTTATAGGTATGATTTTGCCTGAGAATGTTTGCAGAATGCAGTCATTATTACTGCGAAACGTGCTTCGATAGAGAGATTTCCCAGTTCAAATGCGGTGTTACTTTACGATTGCGTGTCGTATCTAATGTTTTTAATGCAGGTCTCTTGTAGTTGATGTTTCGTGGCTATAGCGTCTCCCCATAGAATATATTGTCTAAGCAGTTCCTGTTTTGTTTTGTTCAGCAGTTGTTGAATGGAATGCATTTACCGCACGACCTGCTGTTCTAAACAAGACAGGGATGACCTTTGTGGGAGCCGGAATTTTTGATTTTAGGTAGTGTGTTTGCATGGAATGGATGTTCATTTTTTGCATTTACTGCAACCAGTATACCATTTACCGTTTATCTCAATGGCCGCTAGCCGAATTCAGCGTTCAAGTAGACACTGCTCATTTATAAAATGCATTTTAAAGAACTCCCAGAAGGCAGACGGGTGAAAGCCAAAGATGTTTGCTGAACTTAATATGCGCCTCGTGCTTGCATTCTAACAGTGCACTAGCAGGAATGTGGCGCCTCAAACGCGAGTAGGCTGTGTTTACCAGCCTGGCGGCTACGACAACACCGCACTCCGTGAGCAGGAGCGTCACGGTGCTCTGGTTCCCGCCGTGGTCAGTCTTCCGGTAATCGACGAGTTCACATTCTCCAACTCCTTCCGAGTCATCTCACCACCTACGGAATCGGAGAGCTTTGAAAAGTTGGTCAAAAAGCAGGAGCGCATGATCAAGAATCGTCAGGCCGCTTGCCTCAGTCGGTTGAGAAAGAAGGAGGTGCATATTCATTAGGCTGTCCCTTGGATTATCTTTTTGCTCTCTGGTTATGTGGTAGCCTGCGTTGTGCGTTTGAGATTCGTCATTATTGCCATTTACAACATGGACGTAAGCAGGAGCATTTAGCACTACTTGTAGCAGTTTAAATGAATCATCGAAAAATACTATGCTTATTATTCAAAAACTTGAACACCCAAAAGTGAATTGAAGTTCTTGGAGGACATTGAAGAATGGTGCTGCTTGTTTAGTCTAATATGGTTAAGTCTTTCTCTTCCACCTGCGGTCCTTGCATGGACCAGCTTTGCAGTCTGTAATCATGCATGTGTATGCATGCCTGGTTTTTTTCGGTCTTGTTTATAACCCAGTTCTCGATAAATCAGCTGCTGTGACTTGAATGAACTCATTTTACTTGACCTATCTACTTCACGTTTCTTCATGCTCTTAGAGTCCAAAAATTGCGTCTTCTTATTGAATCTTCTTGTCCTGTCTTTTCTTTGGCCCTAATGGCATAATGTGTTTATCTATTTGTGGTCGACTGACCGCCATATGAATGAGTTGATTTTTGGTCACCGCTAATGACTTTTTTATCATATTATTAGTATTTAGAGCGTTTAGAAAATAGACTTACCCAACTACGGCAGGAGAATGCTCACTTACGTCAGGAGAATAATGAGTGGCGACATCGTTATGATCACCTTGAAAGATGTCTTGGTGACCTGCAGGTAAGCTATTCGCAAGCTGTCCATTTCCCATGCAAATCTCTTTAATGATCCCGCATCCTTTTTTTCCCAGGCAGAATTCGCCACCCTACGTCGTGCATCAGAGACGAGCTCGGAAGGGGTAGGAAAGTTGTCAATCTCCTCCCCTTCCCCTCGACCCGCTGTCTGCTCTCCATCTTCACCCCCTCAGCATCACTCTTCGCCTCAGCTTAAACGACCACTTTTGGTCTCCACTACTTCTCCAATCAGTGGTGTGTTGTTTGGCTCTCTCATATTCACCTACATTGGTACCAAAGGCTATATCACTTTTTTTTGCATTGCGAATACACTTGGGACTGAAATTTGCATTTTGTCCTTGGAAGTCTAAATTGCAACAGTAAAGTGGTAACAACACATAAAAGGAAAAAATAGGACTATATACAAGGCCGTTTTGTTTAGGTATTCGTCTAATTTTTGCCATGCTTCATAGAATTTGTTATGAGATGCTATCATTTGTATTTTATGATTGAAATGCAAACTAACGTAGGTTGCGTAAAATGAATGCAAAATCTCTCTTTTAGAAGCCACAGAACTCCTCTGACCGCTCTTCTCTCCCCTTTCAATAGTCGTTAGTAAGGTGCCGCTTCTAAGAAAGCAAAACGTTGAGCGGACAATGCTACAGAAGTCAGGCCAGAGCGGTGGTTTTCTAAGCAATGACCGCATAATCGGAGGAGTTGGGCTCCCTCGTGGTGTGCGCAAAAAGGTTACCACCAGCCTCTTCGTCGTGGTCTGCCTCTTTTTGATGAACTTCTCCATCACACCTCTCGGTCAATTGGGTAGCTCCCTAACTATGACTCTCAGTGGATCCAAAAACGTTGGCATCATGTCCTCCAGCGGTTGGTTTTTGGACATTGTATTCGAATTGTTGGTTTTCAGGTTGCATTTTCCATATACCTTGCTGCTGTCACCTTTGCTAGTGCCTTGTTGATACAGAAAGGTAATGCCAAAATTCTGAAAGGCATTTTATAGCAGCTATTTCGTTATTACTGTGTCAGCCAAGAATGAAGTAGCCTAGTAACCAAAACGACAGGGGGATCTTCATTGACATCGGAATAATTTCCACACCTCAAACATCTTTTTCATCAGTTTGCACTTTTATAGAGTAAAGTCGCATTCTCTTTGATTGCTTTCAATCTACCAACCTAAGTTTTGCTTGACCCATCATGATTGAAATCATCTGCTGTGATGAAACCTTCCAACCCTTTGCCTTTGTTTTCACATATAATTGTCCTCGAGATAAAGTCCCGTAGGTGATGAATAAATGCGAACCCCTTCCATGCAAAAGGTTGCCAATTTTATGCGTCCAAGTTTCCGTGCTCAAACTGTCCAGAGCAGATAACTGATGGGTAATGGTTCCGAAGAAAATGGCCTTACTGACCAGTGCAGCTTGGATTTTTTTATATTAAGGCCTTGTTCACGGACCTTCATGTTATAAGATCCAGTTTAGTTGATGGGCGATCATCGTTGCAAATTAATCAAGTTCCATTGCGTACTTAATTGAATTCCTATTATTTAGACTACGAAGATATTCTCATGAAGGCACCACTTGGTGGTAGGATCCTTCTGTCCGCCTCTCCGGTAGAGGGTGTCAAGCCGGCCATCCAATCTTCGAGAAACCAGACCAGTGTGCCTCAAGCACTTGGTGAGGATGTCGGTTCGAAGGTTAACACAACGGCGAATGATAGTGGCATTGAGCGCTGTCTGCCCGGCTCTTTCCTCGATCCGCAAGGGGAGCTAGTGGGTGCTAAAAGTCCATTTATTTTATTATTGTATTGGGAAAGAGGTCACAGTTAGTAAATTGACCTGACAACCAGCTGTGGGGCAGTTGGAAAGGGCTAACGCTACTTGTCCACCTCTTGTGGGCTTCTAGATTTAAATCCATCTTGAGTTAGAATTCATTTACTCATTGCTTTCTCACAGTCACATGGCAATCGGATTCCGCTTTCCACTTCAATAGGATTTATTCAAAATACGTCATCGAGGATGCTTGCAGTGCATGGAAAGTTCACTAATCTGGTTTTTCATCTTCCGATCAATGCATTTAATGGCGTTGGCTGAGGCGGGAAAAATAGTTATTGGAGTTTCATATTTAAAGATAGTCCTGAAAAACTCTGAAAATATTATTTAAGCGATGTAATTGTAGCTAGTCGTTGAACAATAGTTGGCAAGCTCTTGAATAACTTTGGGCCTTGCTTTTCACTCCGTTTTACGTTCATTCTGTCTAATTTATGAGGGTAGTCTAACAAGGGATTTCGTTAAGACTGCTTGTCATCACAGTACAATCTAAGCTCCAAATATTCTAGCGCCGTCGTGTCAATTTTTCATCTAACTTAAGCAACTGGCTGCTACCGTTTATTTATTACGAGGCCGGTCCAACACATGCACTAGTGAGTCATTTGCTGCCTCGGCATACAAGTACGGACGTGTTGTTGATACCAGCCTGTGGCAGTCCTGCCTGCGACCTCTCTCACCCCTTGTTTCTGGTCTCTAGTGGGAAATTGGAATCGATCACTGGTTTGAACACCTCTTCTTAGCTTCTCTGTGTATGACATCTTTTCGTCGCCTACGCATAGCTGGACTTTGGTTCGTCTTTTCGCTACGAAAATGATCTAACATCGCTAATGTACCTTTTCGATCAAGTTTGTTCTATCACAAAACGACTTGTAACATCCTTACCGTATACAAATGGACTTTCCTTCAAATAATCATGAATGTATAAGGGAAATGGCTTTGTGACTCGCTTCAGGCAAGAACAGTTTTGTAGGCAATCAATTGGCGCCGGTTAGTGTAAGCAACAGAAGCACTTCAAACTATAGACTTTAGTAGTTTGTTGTTCCAGTAAAAAATCATCCACAATGGAAGTATACTGTGTAATACCGTTTCTCCCTAAACGAGGCTTCTATGAAACTGTTAGAGCCTGTTGTTATCCAAACACTAGTGTCACTGGAATTCCTGATCGTACATAGTCATTTACTTCACTATAAATGAAAACTGGAAATGGTTGTCTCCTCGCTTTTCAAAGGTATGGATATTATTCGATGAAGATGATGAGATCACTGATTGGCCGCTCTATGGACGCCGTAAGCGACTGGCGCACTATCGCCACGGTCAGGATGTGGCCGAACCACCCTCCAAGTGGCGCGTGACCAAGTCTCACCGATTTGGTCGTGTCCACCGACGAAGACTGCATGTAGGTGAACGAAGATGGGAATTGTAACACTTGTCATTTTTATGCCGTTTGTTTCATGTTTTTAAATATCATGGCGGATAGACTGGCAATGTGAATTGACTACAATGAGTTTGTCATTGAAATCCGTTTATTTCCATTTCACTAGTGTAATCGCCCATGCCTTTTGTTGCATCCTTTGTGGGAGTCTGGGCAGACATCTTAGTACTTTCGATAATGTGTTGTAACAGTAATTCAGGGCTGTGAAGACTGTTCTGATGGCATTAGCTTTCCTTAAATGTCATGGTTGCTTCCATTGTTGATGTTGCAACCATCCAAACCATGTAGGGTTTATGCTTACCATGAACGTTTTTAAACCTATGCCAGTCCACGAATGAACCATTTTTTAGTGCAAATCGCATCTGTATTTCTGCATTGATCCCACCAGTTGTAGGTTTATTGCGCCTCCAAACCGCCCTTTTGGGAAAGTATCGTTCTAGACTTGTCAGTTTGGCTGAGCCCTCAAAGAGTCGGTCTGTTTCACTTCTCCATGATATCCAACATGCAATATTCAAAATTCTAAGGCTGCTTTCACTGGTTCTGCGCTGATTTTTTACGGAGACAAAAGCGCATGGTCTGGGAAACTGTCAAGGTGAAGATCGCCACTGGCAGCTTCATTGGCACTGCTTCTTGTGCTATCACAGTAGGCGCTCCCGAAGCTAGATTAACCTTATTGGCACCTTGCCAGACGAAATGTTTGTTTGACCAATCCTCCCATACCTTACTGTTATCGGAGTCTTGAGTGACATTATTGCCGCGTAGTTTCTTTTTTATTTTCACTAATCAAATGGGTTTCTAACTTTTCGAGCGCATATTTATCCTTTCCTCAACCACGCTCTCTGATGTACTCTGGAAGCAAATTTCTCGAATGGGCAACTGGAGTTCCTTTTTACATTTTGAGTGCAATCGTCTGAGGTGTTGGACTGATCTTCTTCATTTCTTTTCCTAGAAAGCCTATCTGCTCCGATCCTCACAGGATAAGAGTGGGGCTGGTTGGCGTGAGGATGGTCTTCCTGATTCCCTATACCTGTTTGGTCAATCAACATCCTCTAATCTGACCATTTTTTCGGTAATGAAGCGCCGGAACCTCATTTGAGTAAGTCAGTTCCTTTTACTTACACATTCTACCTTAAAAGTGTGGGAACAGTCCTAACTTCCGGCCATAGTACTTTGTTTGTGATCTCACAACCACACACTCCTGTTTTACCTACAAGGCCTTCTGCGTCATATTTAAGTGGCTCTTTCCGATAATTTATGGCGTTACCTCATGTCCTCGGTCTATTACTCTGCTACCTCGACAATACGTTCATTTTCTGGTCGATTGCTGACAGCCGTTTAGTTTTTACTGTCATCATGCATTATGTCAGTCGATTTCCTTCTCTTGCTTCATATTCTAATTCATTTGTGTTCATTTCGTTTCATTAGCATCAGGGGTGAATAGTACTGACAAGAACCTCCGCCTCTGCAAACTACAAGTTCAAGTACCCAGTTTGAAGGATCTACGACGTCGAAGGAAAGTGTAATTGCCTTTCTGCTCATCCCCACCCTCCCCCTCTACCCACCTTCCGTCATCATTGGGACCGTTGTCCCCTCATACTTATCTGTCTACGGGATTGTGTGCAATTCTTTTGCAAAACTGCTCACCCACTACCCATTCTTTCCTTGCTCAGTCTTCACTTATTTGTGTTTTTCTGTTTTACCACACGGTTCTCCCTTAATGTCGCACTGCTTTGGCTACTGCGCCACCTTTCCACCATTCTTATCTCGCATTCTCTTTTGCATTTATAATTAATATAGTACGATAGTTGGGGCCTCCTGTAACCGTTAAGCATTCACTCTTTACCGATAAAGTTACCCAGAGGACGTTTGTGTACATTGGCATTGTGACATCTTCATTCGTTCTTGGAGTGCAGGCGTCAGTTTAAGCTCTAAATCAGGTGCAACTGGAAGTACTACGCTCCGAAACGCAGGTTTGGGACATCATGCGAAGTGTGTACACCGCCTTCTCCTGCATGGAAGAGGGAAGAAAGTAGGAGACTTTCAAAATCCATCTGCTTAAAAAGCTCTACCGCATCTTGGGGTAAATATGCTGAGCGATCAACGGTTTCCAACCGCGTGGATGCACAAGATCTCGGAAACTTGACGCGATGTGACAGCTCGATTTCTGAAAAGCAGGTACTTGTGGTCCCTTCTTTGAGGACATTAATGCGTGTCATGTATCATGCATTTTTATTGCCACATCACGCTTGGGTTGATTCTGATTACTAACCTCCCTTAAAAGTCTGTGCTTAGGGACCTGTAATTACTCGTGTTTCTGTTCAGTATAAAACTTTTTGCTAAGATTGATTGATAACCCGCTTTACAATGTTCTCCAGCTCCCCCATCTTTTGTCACGTCGGGCACGCGCACGGCGCAAACAAAGGACCCTAGTGCATATGCCCCTGAAATTGTGCAACCCAGTAAGAAATTCAACTATTTGCCAAGGTTGAGGCATAAGTTCTGTCTCGCGCTAGTTCCAGACAGGTTGCGCCTGTTCATCCATTAAGTTCGACTTTCCTTCTTTAACACTTATAATAACCGATACCGCCCGTTCTGGTCCACAAAGTCCAAAATAAAAGCTAGTGTTCACTGACCTCTCCACTTGGCGCTATCAAGACAGTCCTCATGGTGGCTCCAGTGCCCCATCGAGAGTCACTAAGCTCAAGTCCATCTGCATCAGTTGGTTTGCAACCCTCGGACCATATCTAGCAATGAAAAAAAAATGTTTACCTATAAAACTGCTCCTTTTATTACTGTTTTGGTTTGTGGTATTTGCCAATCATCTTTGATTGGCTTGCTTTTGAATTGTGAGTAGACTAGGCCGCGTCCCTTACCGCAGATGTTCGACAGAGGTGGTGACAGTAAGGCACCCCCTTCTGCACTCTGTCTGTTTGTTATTTTGGTTTTCATGTTTAGTGTTGGTAAATTGGATCTTGGATTTGATGCAAGGCCAAGAGAAGGACTGTTCAACCCTTATTTGCAATAACCTCGGGCATGGATCCTGTTCTCGCTAAGTGAACGCGAGTTCGCATGGAACTTCATTTTCTCATTATTCTTGATTTGATTAAATTGGTTAAATTTTTGAAAGGAGTACTTTAATCGCGAATGGTTGCCAAAACCCAAAACCGGGATAATGGAGGCCTTTTTGAAGTAACTGGACACGCCCACCATCATTTACTACGCAGATTGGACAAACCCTGTGAGCACAGTCGAAGGAAGATATGCCACATTTCCAATTTTCGCCAACATAATCTAAGGAAGGGCCACGCAAAATAACACATTGTAGAACCGTTTTTTACTGCTGAAAAGTGATTGTATGTACATTAGTGGCTCACCTTTATTAGCCTTCGATTGGGATCTGTCTCCAGCACTGTACTCTTGGGAATGGTGAAGGTGTTGGTTAGCCGATCGTCCACTTGACGCACCAACCTCATGCCACTGATATCTTCTCTCTTTAAACAAAGTGAAATCTGTTAGATTGACAGAAGATGGGGCGTCACTTTCATGGAGGCAAAAACTTTGTTCAATGCCCTTATTTTTACTAATAAGGTGGCTTGAAATGATACCACACAAGTGGTAAACACAAAGGGGATGCTTCTAGCTTGTTGATAGCCAAAATCGTTGGTCTCTTCCCCTTTGCTGGGGACTGAGTAAGGTTTCACAATATTCAAAGTTTCATAGCATCCGATTATTCATCAGCAGACCAAACCTTTGCTACAATGCATCTAGCAGATTGTATTTCTCCTCATCACATCCAAAATGGTTCTTAATTCCCAACCAGACGCATTTTATATTTGGTCCGAAGGCTAGTGCCCTTGTTATTAGAACGCTTTTAAGACTTCGATGTCATACCGTGGGTTATTAACTTGATCAAAAGAAGCTCCTCTTTTAAGTCCCTTCCCGAATGAAAGGGCTCCGCTCTAGGGAACTTAAAATGCATCTGAATAGAGAGCGGATATCGGTGTTCACTCTTGGTGGTTGCTTTTCTGTCTGCTTATAGGTTGATCAAAGGAACCGCATAATTTGAACCACTTCCATTCACGAAAATCACCTATCAGTGTCGCGAATCATTCTGGCACTTGGCCAGAGGCAGTATACCATTGGGAGGAGAATTTGTTTTTAAACAAACTGAATAGGGTTTCACTGAACACGTATTTCAATCCTAAGTATGAATGGAGTGGCCAGATGCTACGGTTGTTTAACCTACTACACCCACCTGGGAACCGGTATTGGCCAAAGTAACCGAAGAGCCGTCAACTGCGCACTCCACAATGGAGATGTTGCCCTTGGAACTGCGTGTGTGACTAATCCTCTTCGGTGTCGGCTGGGGCAGTACCAATTCTGCTCGGGGCTTCTCCAGAACTGGAGGTGGAGTAAAGAATAAGCTCTTTTGTTTGGCTTGTTGGAATCACACAGTTGAAATACTAGTTATATACTTTCGGAAATACGTTGATTGGGACATTGATGTTTGATGATGACGTTTCCTTTGTCTTTATTTGATCAGTAGAAGTAAGCAATAAGCTCTAGTGCAACTTCAGGTCCATATGCATTTGTTTTGTTTGAACTCTTTGCCGACAACAAACATCCCTTTGTCATATTTTTGCAATGGTAGTAACATGTTAGCTGGCATGGTTTGTAGCAACTAAGAGGAGCGCCTAGACTGGGACAAGTTGTTTTCACCACTATCTGTTGTTTTACCGATTTTTCATTTTTTCTATCATCAAAAAAGTATTTGTGCAATCGTCCTTTGAACGAAGGCCTGAGCTGCTGTGTATGTGGAAGGGACACTAGAAAAACATAAACTAGGGTAATTTCTACTGAAGACCACAATTATGGCTTACCTGAACATCCGAAAACGTGTTGTCTAAAACAAATATATATATATATATACATATGGACAGTGTAATAAGATTGCAAGAAGACAGGTCGTCGGATTCGTAGTCCCTCGTGTACTCTAGTATTCCCCATAGATTCATTAAATAAAAAAAAAACTTCTTTCCATTTGTTAGCCATCAATAAATGCGTTGTTTATCGCGGAATTTTTACTCTCAATCATTTCTGGCAGGGCTGTCAAGCGCGCTCCCAACTCCTCCTCCTTCTCCAGCAACTGGTAAATTTGATGCTATTAGGCAGCTAAAACTAGTCTCTGCGAGGCAATTACAGTTTTATAAAGTGGGCCAACACAAGAAGCATAATAGGTGACTGTAGAAGTAGAGTAACTTTTCTTAAGGACTCCACCATCAGTTGATGCAAATACCGGAAGGTTTAAACGTTACTAATTGTAGGGGCTTTAAAAACTTGTTGCCTGAACTTTGTTATATGTTTGCACGTCAAGTGCGAGTCATACGCGTCTGCGATTCATCTTGTGAATATACTTGTGTAAGTCTCGAGGGATGACCTCCAAAAATTGGATGTCACTACGCTAGCGCAATGCGCTCACCGATGCGAATCCTCTGGATCTGGAGCTAATTGCGTGAACTTAATGATTTCACTAATCTGCGTGTCAATCGCCCCAGTAGGACTGCGTCAACTAGTCAACTCCCTTCCTTATTACCTCACTTTCCATTGGAGCAGCTTCCAGTGCGGACAAGGAGGCTGTCTACGGTACAACTGAATGCAGACTCAGATAGCGAAGACAACGACAACCACGTGTAATTTGCATGGCATACGGGTAGGTTGATGAATTTGTCAAGCAGACGTGGTGTAGTTGACATTTACTCGAAAAGTTAACCCGTACTAGAATGGGTATGTTTGTATCTTCTCTGTGTCGTCCGTCCGGATTCCAATTTACACACTATATCCATCCTTGGGCATAAATTTTGTAGTTGACAGAAATATTTTGATGAAGCATTTCTTCCTACCGAAGCCTTAAACATTTGACTTTATTTTGGCATTACTGTCGAAGATAAATAAAGAAAATAAATGGCGGCATCCTGGTTGCTTATAGTTAGATATAGTGATTCAGATGTCAATGCCGACTCTACCTTCGCTCTTCATGTTCAATTAGCCGTCGATAAGAGGCTATCTCCAATTCTAAACCCATCTTCGAATCCAAAAGGGCTTCAAAATCTGTCCGCAGTCGTTGTAATTCCGCCTGACAGGCGCTCAGCTCTGTGGTCAATCGGTGTTTTGTGAGTTCGTTATCCTTCTGTCTCTCCTGACTCGCCGTTCGCATTTCTCGGATTGTAAGCTCCAACTGGGCATTCTACAATCAGTCATGAAATGTTTGAATAAGGAATATCGAAGGGAGGTAAATAAGGTTTTAAAAAGCGAAGACACACAGCCTCCTCCAGAGTGGTAATTTTTCGACGCTGGTCGATGAGATGCTGACGGAGATGAACTGGTGCCGACTCTCCCTCCGCACCCGTTTCCGCCACTCCCGTCTGACGCAGCACCCGCGCCTTCACCTCATAAGCCGAGTGAATGTCCGCCTTAGTGGCCTCCAAGCGCTGTTCGTACTCCAGTTGGATTTCACGCAACACTTGCATTATTTCCGTTCGGAAAACTGCCACAGCCTCCTGTGTCGATTCGCGTTGTACAAGAGCGGAGAGCTCACGCAACTCCTGTAAACGGAAATGATTATTATGGGCTTTCACATTCATCTATAATTTTGTTATCCTGAGGGACTAATTAAACGTCAAAATGGTAGTGTTTGTAGACATTTCCACTTTCTCTGTCCAAAATGCGCTAACAGAGGGAGGTCTCTTGGAACGACATCGCCTTTGGGTTAATGGCCTGACCTCAAGATTTTAGACAGAACCCGATATTATAACAGAAGCCACTTTTAACATATTTTACGATTTAAATTTATAAATTGAAGTTTATTACTTTTCTGTATCCCAAATCTGTTGAATTTTCTTATTACTAGGAGGGATTCGGATTCTTTCATCACACTCAGTCTCAAACCTTAGTGAATAGAAATTAGTCATTAACTTGCTAAGCCGCTTTAGCTCTAAATTTTTGGATCAAACGGCCTCGCAACGCTTTCATATTTGGTCGGTTGGGTACAGTCTCCAACCGCCGACGCGACTGCTTGACTAAGGTTTAGTGAACTGGAGGCATATAACGCGCTGCAATTCCATTTAATGAACACCTAGCTAGGTTGTAGTGTTGTTTGCTGTTGAAACGAGATTATCGGTAGCGTTTCTTATTGACGCGACTAAAAGTACAATTAAAGTAACTTACTTTTATCTAAGTTAATGGTGACAAGTCTACCCAAAGACGGGAATCATGCTGTGCCTCATTAGGGGACTGGAAAGAGTGACGGCTTGCGATGCAAACGAAACGAATAGGTAAGACGTTTAAACCCGAGGTGGCATTTGCCTTATTTTATAAGTCCAAACAGTAGCCATGCCAATGAAGGTGGATTCGGGAGTCGGGGTGGTGACTATGCCGCGCATAGTAAAGAGGAGAGAGTATTTGGCAGTCTGTCACCGTGGTCCACTGCCATCTAGGTTAAATCACAAGTCTGCAGTCATTAGCCTATGGAATGTCAAATTATGACACCAAGTTGTTGCTCCAATCAGTCATCAGTTTAGTCAAAAAACGACGCAAATTCTCATCTTCTCAATTCTTGTAATTTCCATCTGTATAGATAAAACATCTTTAATGAAACATTAAGGTGCTGCTTTTAGATAATCAGTAGAGCGTTCACAACTGAATCATTGGCTAGCAATGGTAAATTACTTGAAAAACTTGCATCGATGGTCACTTAGGAATTTCGCTTCAACCTAAACTTACAGCATCCTGAACTTTCTTCCTATGATCCAATTCTTCGCGAAGCATTTTGGCATCCGTTTCTGCGGCGTGTCTGGCCACCGAGAGTCTGTCGTTGTCCTACCGGAGGGGTGGGAAACCAAATCACAAGCGCAACCGTAGAGTATCCAGGATGGTTCAGTGGGTTGAAGTGGAGAAGAAAGTAAAAACTCTTATAAGCATGCCGTAACTCACACGTCATTTAATAAATGCGCAAATTCTTGCATAAAGAGAAACATTCTAGTATTTGTACAATGCTGATGTCAAGCCCGTGGTACCCGCTGTCATTTATCACCAGAATAATCCTGAGGATAGAGTCAAGTAGGCATCTTCGAGATCCCCAAACTGAAAAGCACCGGTCTTCCCATGACCCTGGACGTGGGTTAGACACCGACGCGGTTATGGAGGTAGGCAATGGTGCTTTGTTGAGTAGAATGAATGATTGTGATTGCCGCGTCGTTCTGTGTTGATGGTGGTGCGTGTGGTGGTATAGGTGTGTGGCATGGGTAGCGAGATGCGAAGGTAAAGTAGCATTTGGATGCAGTGGGGTGGCTTCGGTGAAGGAGGGAGTCAGTGAGTCAGACTGTCATTAGGCGTTACCGTGTGATAGTCATTAGGTCAGTCGTCCACTTCGAATGTTCCATTTTCTCGCAATTTTAGTAGTAGAGGCGCATGCAGGTTGTCCTGTCACCGCCACACCCACTGCCAAAACCACTACTACCAAATGCACTTATGTAACAAATTTGGCGCTTTTGACCGTCTTGGCTCTTGTCTTTTCTGATGGGGGAGAAAAGAGGTTGTTAGAAGCAATGCAGATACTGAATGCAGTTATCCACCTCATTAAAGGGATGGTTTTGGTTATTCGACAACATCTACTTTGCAGCGATCGGAATCGGACTCAAATCAAGGGAGTAGCGCCCATTTGAACTGGGAGGCAAAGTTATGGATTGAAGAATTTGATGAAGATTCGATTGGAAAGTTAATGGCAGTAAAAAAGCAAGTTGGTGCAATTAACCTTAAAACACACAACCTTATTGGTCAGATGGTAAAAAAAGGGGACAACATTTGAGCACCAAAACTCACTAAACACGCCTCCTTCAACTGTTCCTGTAGCCGTTTGAATTCGTATGCCTCCTTGGCTCTCTCCTCGGCCATCGAGGTGCAGCGTTGTTGGATTTCTTGGACTTCGCTCTCCGCCGCTTTGAGTTGTTCATTACAAGTCTTTAAGCGTTCTTGGTCACACACAACTTGTTTTTCCTTTGCGCGAAGTCTGGTTATTAAAACGCAGTATTTTCTCACTCCTGTTTGCTCTATCAGGTCCTTAACTGAAGTAATCTAAATGGTCTACAACACCTTAAATGTGGAATTTTACGGTACAGGGAGACCATGTTACCGTCAGTATTGGTTAATCGAAATTCCTGCTAGCCTCTAGCAAGTATAGAGACAAATTTTAGTAGACATACGCCTGTTGAAGGTCGTTGAGCTCCGCCTCAGCACGCTCAGCACGGATCTCATAGTGTGCTCGTCGCTCCTCTGAGGCTGCCAAGGAGGCGCGCAGCTGTTCCAAGTCGGTGTTGTAGATGCCTCGAAGACGATTGATATCAATGCTGTAGTTGGTGCGCAGACTCGAAGCCTCCTTTGCTAAGCTTCGATTATGAGCTTCAAGCAGACGAACCTTTGCCCAGAATGCTTATCGTTTTAGCAATTGCAGCGATGTTTTGGAGGAAAAGTGTATGGAATATGTTTAAAAGCAACTTCAAAATACCACACAATAAATGGAATTAAGTTGGTAGCCCCGAATTGCTGAATTATTAATGCATGGTCAGGTTGCAGAAGCAGCAATCCCAAAATGTAAGGGAGATCCAAATTTTTATGCCGTTCTCTATGCATTCTTTTTGACTAATTGTAATGGATACTGCAAGATGAAATCATTTTGCAAGCCATCACAGAGAAATACATCTTTGTTTAACTAATCTAAATATTCGTTTTCTTACTAAATCTGTCTGCCAAAATCCTCTGATGAAGGCAGCGGACAGATGGGTAAACTTGCGCTGTAAAACATTAAAAAAGGACTTCTCAGAAATCTTTCAACATGGTTAACTTATTACAGTGTTAACAAAATAAGAACAAAATTAGTGGTTTTAGAGGTGGTGAATGTTTGGGATGCAAATACCTTGTTTACGTGACACCTTATATGTCTGGCAGTAACTTTGGTGTTCGTCTTGCCTTTGGTTCTAACCGAAATTCATATCAGTTCTCCTTTTCTGAAATATACGCTTTCCGCCCAATATAATGCCTTGGGACCTTAAAATGCATAAATTTTCCTTCTAACACTTAAGGACAAAATTAGCCATTACAGCAATGAGAGGAGTGATAGACTCCGCTTAGTAAAACTATTGTTTGATAGGGCGAAATTCGCATTTGTATAGACAAATGAGAAAAATAATTGGCACTTAAAGACAGTAAAAACAAGCAGGTGGGGAGGAAGGCGCTACAAGATCCTAAAGACGTAATTACACAACTCCAGTCCTTTGCTTTCTTGACGGAACTACTTATGCACATTCTTTTAAAAGTCATAGAGGTACTGTTTATGTGGTCTTCAATTTGTTTGAAAAACGATTCTACCGAAATCGCGACTTTTTGTCCTTCTTTTTAATCTTAATTATCATCATTTTGCCATTACACTTGTTTGACTGAATGGTTTTCCGTCGGAGTAGGTTAAAGTTAAGTGGCTCGTGCGTCATTTAGCTTCGCGCAAAGCGTGGGGAATGTCAAATAGCTTCTCCGTCATGATATCCTAGCGTAGACTTAACTGTGGTGTTCCTCTTTTTCAAATTTCTATGCATTTGGGAATTCAGAATCAGTTTACCCCTACAATCTTTTATTTGGTAGCCAAGTGCTGAAGTAGCATATCTGGCGTCGCCACCATAGTAGTTGCCTGAGTATGTATTTGCGGAAAATCGTAGCTGTTTGTAGACACATATTTCTATGGTCCTCACTCCGGTCGTTGCACGAGGTGATGGCAACCACATGAGGCTACGAGTTGTTGGGGATCTGCTAACAGTTTCATCATCGTAAGAGGAAGAACGCAGGTAGAGTCTGCTGAATCCAGGAACGAACTTTTGTAGTTGGAAGTAGTCCTTGTCTAGCTGTCAATTGGATTTGTCTACTCCCTTCTAGTCTGCTTTAGAGCTAGTAATTTTTGTGTTGAAAAGAACGGTATTGAGATTAAGTTGACTTCATTGAAGCCACTCTCTGCGGAAATCTCTGGTAAACACTTGGTTGAGAGCATCATCGTTGAGGGGATGCGTTTATTCTTGTTATTAATACACACTTTATGGTCGCGTTCAGCTTCCACTAGGACTTGCCATGCTCTTATAAGTCTACAAGGCTTATAAAATAGGCGTCGTTGAAACTGCTTTTGGTGATATTGCGGTATAATCTTCATTAGAGTTAAAATTTATGCAAATAAATCCCAAACAACTAGCATGGAAAGTCTCTAGTGATGAGGCTAATTTTTGGGGCAGCCAGTCTAACTGATGTATGCTTCCAATAGACTCAGGATCGGTGGGCCATTTGGGTTATAAGTGTGGTCGTCTCCTGTTAAACTGTGACCCTCAATTGTCAAAATAAGTATGGTATATAGTGAAATAAATAGTAAAGGTGGAATTAACTGTAATTTGGCTAATAAGACCACGATGTGTCTCACCCTTTCAATAAAACTTGAGAGTCGATCATTGAGTCTCTGAAGCTCGAACTTCTCTCGCGCCCTCCCTTGAATTACATCACCAATCGCTCGGGTCTGCAGAGCGTTGCTGACCTTCGTTGCCTTCTGTTCTACTATCTCCGTCTCCGTGTGTTTGTTGCCACCCGGGCATCGTGTTATAACTACTGATTGACTGGTAGTGAAACAGCTCGCTTCCTCCTCCAATTCTCCTTCCCCTATCGGGGTGTCTTCCACTAATGCTGCTGCTGTTCCAACGTCAACTTTTCCTCGGGAGCTGGTGGGATCCACTGAAGTTATTTGCAGTCCACTCGACACTCGGTGAGGTGTTCGATGATGTGGGAGACCGCACGACCTCTCACCCTCAGTAGAACCGCCTTTAGCCATGAACAGTGCGTAAATGATTGAACTTAACACTACATCAACAAATGAGACGAATGTGCGTAGTAGTCCGGTAGGGTCGCGGACTCACTTTGTGTGCGTATGTGTGTACAATTCGTTTGATGACGCATTACAAGTTTGTTCGAAAAGACGGCGGTGGTGAGTAAATGCCAGTGGTCTCACAGCAGCACGCACCACTTGGCTCTCGATTGTCCACATCTATTATTTCAAGAGATATTTATTCGGCTAGTTCTTTCGACACTCTGGTTGGCTTGAATGATTTTACTTTATTAGATTGTAAAATAGTTCAGATTCTAATTTTTTGCATTAAAAATTCATGAATACCTTGTAGTCACACGCTTTTCCTTCAGCTTAACGAAATTCTGATGGGGGCAAATATAGCCTAGTCACCCTCGGAAATCGCAGCAGTGATTTAGCCAAAAAATTAACGCCCCATTTTGGTCTTCAAAATCTAAAGGTTCCCCTCTTTGTACTTGGTTGGACAGTTGGCCTCGGCGACAACATTTGCTTGTCCTCACTTAGCCCTCTTCCAAAGACTTAGGGCAATGCACCGCTGCTGAATGCTAAGCTATAGTGGGCTGGAGAGGTGTATTTGCTTCAGATAGGAAATGATAATGATTCCCTGTAGAGAAGCTAAAAATGACGTTCATCTTTAAGCTGCGCCTCTCTGCGTTCTGCATGAGTATCACAAATAGCTAAGTAGTCCAAACAATTCATCCAAGAAGTGACCTTCATACATGTTCGAAAAATTTCATTTTCCTAAATTCCTTTTGTAGGCAAATGTTGTTGCACCAAACAATGTGCAAAGGAAATACGAAGCACACTTCCCTTCTTCCAATACATTTCTTCAGTTTAACAAAGCTCCAAAGCCAGTGGAATTGGTAAGCAAATTCAGTGACCTGTAATAGCAGTTTGTTTAGTGATAAAATTGATCAGGGGGTTAAAATTTTAGCACTGACTGCATTATGCCGATCGACATGGGAGACCGACCAAGCGGTGCCTCCGTGAAAGTACACAAAGGAAGCTTCAGACCGAAATAGAGGGAATCTTAGGCACCACCCGCGTAGGCGGATTATCTCCACATGGATTGTGCAGTTAGGCGACAATACGTCCTTCAGACTATTCCAGCAGCCTGCCAGTCTGTCATTGCGTCGATTATATGTTTTAGAGCACTTTACCTGAAAAAGGCAAGAGGTCTGTAATGCTTTGTTTACGTGAACGTCTGATGTCTAGCGGTTGCTTTAAGAGTCATCTGACCCTTTGCGCCAAGCTCAGGCTTAATCACTTTGTTCTCCTTGGAATACATATATTCAGCTTCACTCAATGTCTCAGGTCACTGCTGTGTCAAATCTGGTTACTCGGTTTTGATGCTTACATAAAGTGTCAGCTATTACATTCTGCATCGCTTACACTGCCTTTACACTTCGTACGGTTCCGGGGTAGGGCTAGTAACGGCCACTTAAGATAGTTATGACATAACAACATGTTTTGCCTGTAATGCTTTGCTTATGTGACCACCTCACGTTTGGTGGTCACTTCAAGATTCGTCTGACCCTTGTATGCGTGGGCCATGCTCAGGCCTAATCGCCTTTTTCTCTTTGGAATACATGGATCGGGCTTCACTTACTGCCTTCTTCCACGCTGCGGGAAGACTCTAGACGCTAGGTTGGCGCGATAATTTATCTATTTGACTACTTACAGGACTACTGATTACTTTGGAATGCGTATTGCTCCTGTATGCGTGGATTGGTCTTTTGGCCAAGTCAAAGACCTATCAATTCTTCTTCTCTCCGATCGCATGTATCCAGTCCAACTTAAGGTCATCTGTCATTTAATAAAAAAGTCGCAGATATATACAAATAAAACTTCGCTTTACTTAAGAAACTTGTTCACTAAAGAACTCCTTGTGGTTTCTCTCATTAGTTGTGCAAACATTGCAAAACCGATTTTCTCAATCTATTAATTCAATAAATTAAATAGAAGGGCTGCAATTGATGATTTTACAGTTTTGCTGCTGTAACAAGTATTCTTGTTCCCCTTTGTGCCCATAGAAAAAGAGTGCGTCTTGACTTCGTATAACACCGATTTCAAACATGGGTTTTGGTCTTGTTGCCGTTACTTACATTGTCGCTCTTTTACTTACTATTGTTTTGATATTCTTTGTTATTTATCACGTGAGGTGTTCTACCGTTTGGACGAGTATCCTTTTAGATAATTGCTTTTGATGAGCTTAAAACGGATTATAAAAACCCAGTGGATCAGTGTCGAAATCTTAATCCGGTATGCACAGATTTATTTACCTATTCTTGGAGCTTGTCCTTCCTGAATACTGCTTGCATGCGTTTGTTACGCTATCCTTCTTCATGACTGGGCAGGTAGCAGCGATGTTGGTCAACCTTCCTTTGCTCATCTACCACATTCACAGGTTTGTCACTTGGACTGCTGACTTATTTGTTAGGTATCTCACGCGTCCAGTTAAATCAGGCATCGGACTGTACCACCCAACCTCGATCCTCAACAGTAATGAACTAAATAGGGCTATGAAAGAAGGGTGGGTGAAGTTGGCGTTCTACATAATGAGTTTCTTCGGCTATCTATTTGGGTACGTTTCTTTTGCCAAATTTCTGATGCATTTAGGATGATCGCCTCGCTAATCGCCTCCTAGGACTCTACTGTAAATTTCTGGAAATGGATACCCATTGTTTATCTGTTGCTTCCAGCTGTACACTCTGCTGAATAAACCGTCTTGCTTGTTTACTCTTTTATGATATTCTTAAGGCTTGTCTGTATTCCATCAGTCTATCTTGTATTTTAGAGCATGTCGCTTTGCTGTTCACTCAGTAACGAGGTCCCTGAAGAGCCTGTTTTAAGCCCGAGATCGGGTCACATCTTTGAGCGCCGTCTTATTGAAAAGTACCTCGCTGAAACTGGCTGTGATCCTATAAATCAGCAGCCTCTCTCCCCTGAGGAACTAATTGAGGTTAAAACATCGCCTTTAGTGCGTCCAAAACCGCCATATGCCACCTCAATTCCCGCCATACTCAAAACTCTTCAGGATGAGTGGGATGCTGTTATGTTGCATTCGTTTACCCTCCGTCAACAGCTTCAAACAGCTAGGCAGGAGCTCTCACACGCCCTTTATCAGCATGATGCTGCTTGTCGAGTGATTTCAAGGTATAGAGGCTACAAAGTTCTTTCTTTAGCGAGTAGAGCCGCTCAACATTGGGTATTTCTATCACGTCTAGACTGATGAAGGAGGTTACTGCCGCCCGAGAGGCTTTGGCTACGTTGAAACCACACACAGGTATCGGTGCTGCCGCTCAACTTGCTGTGCAGGCGCAGGACGTTTCTGAAGCTCCTAGTGCTGATAATGCGAATGTGAGTGACTTCGGTGGATCAACCATGCTTTTGATTTGTTTTGTCATGTACTTAAACTGTGTTACTTTAGCTGCAAGAAGAAGTCGGTTTGTCGGAGCAGGTGATTACACGTCTTCAGGAACGCGCCGCCCAACTGACTGAAGAGCGCAAGAAGAAGGGTAAGACAATGCCAGAGGGTCTGGCAAGGTCACGCGATATCTCCGAGTACAAGCAAATTGCCTCTCTGGTGGGCATGCATTCACCCAGTATTCCAGGCATTCTCTGCTTAGATGCGAGCAAAACCGCACCAGAGCGCATCATCACTGGCGGAAATGATAAGAATGCCGTTATCTTCAACACACAAGCCTCTCAAGTATGTTGTCTTTAGATGCACTTGATAAGCGAGGCAGTTAGAAATAATTTTGTTCCGCGTGTGGACAAGGTGTTTCTATTTCATGGATTTCGTTTGAGTTCTCATTTCAAATCCTGGTTTGTGTGTTTGTTTGCACAACATTCACTCTGGTCTTCATGAACGGTTAGCAAAAGTTGGAGTGGCTGAGTCAAACACTTTCTTTTTGCTTGGATTTAAATAAACAAAAAAACTGTCAGGGTTTCGTCGTTAAGGTCATTGAGGCAAGCTTGAGCCCAATTCAATTACCCCATTTTCTGTTGTTTTATAACCGTTCGTTTTATGAACGGTTGTATAATAATTCCACGCTGATGTCAAGCCCGTGGTACCCGCTGTCATTTATCACCAGAATAATCCTGAGGATAGAGTCAAGTAGGCATCTTCGAGATCCCCAAACTGAAAAGCACCGGTCTTCCCATGACCCTGGACGTGGGTTAGACACCGACGCGGTTATGGAGGTAGGCAATGGTGCTTTGTTGAGTAGAATGAATGATTGTGATTGCCGCGTCGTTCTGTGTTGATGGTGGTGCGTGTGGTGGTATAGGTGTGTGGCATGGGTAGCGAGATGCGAAGGTAAAGTAGCATTTGGATGCAGTGGGGTGGCTTCGGTGAAGGAGGGAGTCAGTGAGTCAGACTGTCATTAGGCGTTACCGTGTGATAGTCATTAGGTCAGTCGTCCACTTCGAATGTCCCATTTTCACGCGTTTTTAGTGGTAGAGGGAGGTATAGGCGCTGGTTTGGTTCGACCGTTATTAATCCTTTTTTGATGATCAGAACGTGCTGAATGTGATAAAGTGATGAATTGTGCTTCGATAATCAGGTTCTGAGTGGTAGTTTTTGTCACTGCGCTTTCGATAGATGATTGATAGCTAATTGGAGTAGCTTTTGTATCTAGGGCATGAAATAACAACGATAGGCTGCGCAGTGGGAACTGTCATGTTCTGTTGTGAAGAAATTGGTACTACTGCATTATAATTTTCTGGAAGTTGCTAGAACTGGAAAGAAGTCGTTGTATTAGGTATTGTAAACTGCAGCTTGTATGGCCAGGCATTCAATTATTTTAGTACCCCAACTCGATGATTCAACCTTGGCTCTACCTTCCACTTCAAACTGCTTTTGCATACTTCCTATATCATTGTTTTGGGAGAATTTACAGCTGCTTCGAATTGGGTGACGAGGAACTTTTTTAGACGTTTGGGCTAGTCAACTTCATCTTTGTTATGGCAGGCAGAACTCAGTTTATGTATGAATGTTAATTTCGTCGTCCCGATTATATTTCATTCATGTCATGCGGGTTTTCATGATCATTTTAGTATCTGCCTCTCTTCAGATTGAACTGCTACATAGTTTGTTGTACACGGTGCCGCTGGTGTTCTTAGTTTCCCGTAAAACGATTATCTAAAAATTCCCAAAACATCATTATCGAAAATATTTTTTTTTCAAGTAGGCATTCTTAGTGACTTGTTTTCGTCTTTGCCGCATTAAGCTACCTGTTCCTTGAAGTTTGTGTCAAATGTTCTTGTTGATTTACAGCTTAGATAATTTCGTAAGCATTCTTCTACTCATAATTTCCAAACCGTTCCGTTTTCTCTCCATCCTTGACCGTCTATCAATGGATCAAGTCGCCTAACACGCCACAACTTTCTGTTATGATTACAGCCGTTCATCTCTTATGGAAAATCTTGCATTTCCACTCAAAGGTGGTGTCAATTCTACGCGGACATACGAAGAAGGTGACACGAGTGGTATATCATCACAGCGAGCAGCTGGCCTTTACCGCCTCGCCGGACTGCACGGTGCGTGTATGGGGGGTAGAACAGGCGCAGTGCGCTTCAATAATCCGCGCTCACGCTGGTCCTGTTACTGGTCTCTCTCTTCATGCCATCGGTGATTACCTCCTTTCCTCCTCCGCCGACGGCCAGTGGGCCCTCAGCGACCTTCGACGCGGACAGGTCCTTGTCAGAGTAACCGTGGAAAAGGGCGGCTCACTCCAAGGTTTGTGTTGATCAGCCGAGTGGCTAGTTTTGCATATCTGTTTAGAACGCTAGAATTAGTCACAGATTCAAGCGACGAAATTTGCATGAGTTCTCTATACACGTGACAGAAACCAACAACACCAGCACTCAACCCCGAAATTAAAATGAGTACGCCACGAATCCAAGTTGAGGCTTACGTTATCGAAAATCAAAGTTGTCACTTCTTGTTTGTAATGATCTGCAGACTTCAGTGCAATTCCACTTCTCTAATTTTATAAAACCTCTGCTTCTAATTCACTAGTCACAATCAAGGCGAACTGTGCTCGCCTACTTGTCATCCGCCCTAGCGGTTACTCACTTTTCGGTCCACCCTTTTAGGCTTGACCTGCGCCCAGTTCCACCCGGATGGCCAGATCCTAGCTACTGGAACGGTGGACGGTGAGGTGAAGATTTGGGACATTCGAGAACGGCGCAACGCGGCCAACTTCACTCACGGCATGGGTGCCAATCAACCACTCACCGCGGTTTCCTTCTCTGAAAATGGCTACTACCTTGCCACCGGCGGTGCCGATGGTCAAATTAAGCTATGGGATCTGCGCAAACTGAAGAACTTTAGGACTCTCGTGGGTTTCGCACTTCACCTCTCCTCGTAGCAGCAACACCCATGCTTAATTTGTTTTTCTCTCCAGACTCCTGAGCTGGATCGAGCGAATTCAATCTACGAGATCAACGATCTCGAATTTGATCAGTCCGGGTGCTATCTTGCAGTTGCAGGAAGCGACGTCCGCGTCTACCTCTGCAAACAATGGGATGAGTTAGCGACGTTCACGGCGCATACCTCCCCATCCACTGGTGTTCGGTTCGGCCCCAACGCTAAATCAATTATATCATGCAGCCTCGACCGCAGTGTCAAAATTTATAGTGCCGGGCCAGGTGAGGCAGGCGATGGAGACTCGGCCATGGAAACGTAGACAGACTAACTTTTCTTAACGTGCGCTAAGTGCATTTCTTTGTCCTCTCGTTCCCCGATCCCGGGACTTTGAATATGGTGTTGTATCGTTACAGCCTCTAGTAAAAATCAACCTCTCATCTCTTGTGTATCCCATTTACGACCTGAGGACTCGCACAAATACACGTGGGAAATAGCAAAGCTAAACCACACATTCAGGGTGAACACGCACTATGTGGGAGGTGGAGTAGGGGAATAGGGGACTGAAGAGGAAAAAGAGGGGATAACAATGCAAAGAGACCGCGACCACGCCGAGGCAAAGCAGAGAAAATAGTCGCGATCGCACCGGTGTCGCGCCTCAACGCTATACCATCCAGGTCGAAAGAGTATGTAGCACAGGAGCGGTATTACGATGCAGAGCAGTGCAACGCAAAGAATCCTTCTTGAGTTCCACCTCGGTTTGAGGCATGGTCGAGACGAGGGCGACACATCGGCGTGACAGCGGGTGATTTGTTGGTGTTGTGGTGCGATGCAGTTGGGGACGAGGGGGGAGGAAAGATTGTGCAATTTAGCCAACGAAGACCTCAGACGAGCTCGAAGGATCTGATTGTCGGAAAGTGTTTCAACCGATGGTTGGCGCAGAAGGTTGCTGCGAGGATCCAGCTCTGAAGCGCGTTCCAATAGGTCCTGCAATGAGTGATCCGATAAAACATGAGTGCAGTCTGATCGCCCCATATCCTCACATAATTGCGAAGGTGCGATGAGAGACGTTAACTACTATACAAGCATTGTCAGCATCCAGTGGCAACCTCGATGGCACCAGCAGCCGGCACAGAGCTTTACGCTAGCCACCCACTTTAACAATTTCCTGTATGATACCTGTTTCGACGTCTTTTAAGTGACAGACGCTGAAAATCTCAAAAGTTACTGCCACCCTTTCCTCTATACCGTTGGAGAAAATCAACCCAAAACCCGGGAGAACCGACACAACGCAAAACTTGCTCACCAAATTTGCTATATCACAAAATCTGGCCTATTTTACCAGTTGTAAATTTACCTGGAGCCTTTCGGTCAAAGCAGGAATGTTCGACACACTTCGTAAAAAAGATCCATTTGATTGATAGCAGTCGGCCACATCGGTTAATGGCACGTTTGGGCTTCTCAGCTGTTCCGCAACGAACTGGGCTTCAGATATAGCCGGTCCAGCCTGATTTTCAATCTCCTGGAGTTTTTTCTTGCTGTCTGAATTGACGTAGTTAATGTAGTCTAACAGACACACTTGCGAGTGCAACTCTCGCTCTACCTCCGAGCGTCTGTGAATGTGGAGAGGTAAACAAATTAATGCTACTTACAAACAGTGCATAGGCATGAACAGGAATGATAATAAACCTGGAAGCGATCATATCCAGCCAACTTGGAAAGAAGGAGAGGAACCCGTGGTCAGACACCAGCAGTTTATTGGCTTGGGACTCGAGATCTACAAGACGTGCCTTGTGTCTCTCAATCAACATGTTCACCTCTTGACGCCAACGTTCCAACCGCCCGGCGTAATACTGGAGGAAGAGAAAATGTAGACCGATACTGTTATGTTTGTGGCACCCACCTTTGCCCAAGTAACTCGCACATGAAAGTTGGAGTTACCAGAATGTCATAAAGACGATAGAATTGCAAATTCGTGTTGTTTTCTCCTAACAAAAAAATAAACGACACACCTCTGCAGTAAGTTTGTCTACAAGCCGAGCAAGTCAGTCTATTGAAACCACACTTCGAAAGGCCACTTTAGGGCTTATCCCAAAAGCAATGCATCTGGTGCAGCATTAAAGTTTGATTTGGAAAAATACATGAGGTTTACAGTGAAGGTTGAAATGAAAACTCAATCATAATTCAAAGGTTTAGTATAATCCCTGAAAATCCTAGTATTGTGAATGATGGAATTTAGTAGTGTTAAATACGACAGCCATCCATGATAATTATTTGCAAAGATAAAAAGGTCTACCATCCACAATGATGGCAACGCACACAACAGGAGGATTGGTTCCTACCCTGAGACTCTCGAGGTTATATTCTCACCACGTACAAACAGCATGAGCCAGATTCCACTGCATGCAATGTGTTGAGAGAGAAATATCTGATATGGTCGCAGCGATCGGTCACAGTTCCCTGCCGAAAACTTCAATGAGCTCTAGAGAATGGTGCATTTTAAAATCAACAAGTGAACGAGGAAATTCGGCTGTTAGCGAACCAATCAGTAGTGCCACACTCCAACTAAAGATATCCTTCCTACAAAATGCGGCATCGTAATTATAATTCCTGAGGCAAAACATACCGCATTGGTCTCGAAAGCAGTAAAAATGGGACGTACAACGATTGTTTGTGGCATGTGCCTGTTCTGCATTAAAAAGCAGATGTTTTTAGAACTTAGCAACGGGGTGTCGTAATCAAGGAATGATTGGTGTTAACAATTATAAAAGGAAACATGTCATAACCATAAGTCACGCTGGGCGTAAAAACGATTCTCCAATCGTGGTCGGCACGGAAACAAGAAGCTAGTTTACGAATCCAACGCATTACGAATGTCAACTATCACCTAGCCAAAGTAATCAAGACTGTCAAAATGTGATTAAACAAGCAAAAATATGAGGAGACTGATTTGTGCCAACTCCACATACAGTTAACTAGGTGGTGCATAATTTTCTATTCACTGACGTAGGCTTCCTGACACCCATCACATAACCAATGCAACAGACTTAAAAAATACCATGGTCTTACTGTGCCCTCCTTTCACTCTTTGAAGAAACTCAAGAAATCCAATGTGTTTGCTGGTCTTGACACAGCGTCTTTGAATTAGAGGTAGGCGATAGAGAGGAAAAAAATGAGAAGAGAAAGTGGAAACGATTGTATACACACTGCCGGATCAATAACTCACTTGGAGTTCACTGAGACGCTTGTCTAACTCCACCCGACTAAGCTCGGGCCGGAGACGGCAAAGCAGATCGGAAGAGAAACTGTCGGAAGGTTCAGTGGGCACATAGAGCAACGTCTCGAGACTCGACAGCCAATTTATCACATCGGAAGCATCACGCAAAACCTCGAAAAGCTTTTCCGAGTCCGCTGGTGACAGGCGCAACGCAGCAGCCAGGCTGGCCAGCTTAATGCAAATGAACCGCGGAGACGACATCATCTAGATTATTTTGCTTCACTCCCTTCATGAAACATCAGTGTTAAGAAGGCAGTATCTGCATTATTTCTGCATTATTGCAGCTCTAACCAACGCAAGGATCAACAGTTATACATAAAAGAAATACTTTAGCTGCTATGCATTCAGCGAGCCTTAATATAAGTTGCATTTTATTGAATGTGGTGAATGAAAAGACCGAGTTGATCAAACGCATCTAAGTATTTATGCGAAACTAAATACAAATGAGGTTGCGCACAATGCCATTGTTTACAAGACCTGGTTAAACCCAATTCCACTACTCAGTTTTTAAACAAAATTATATAAAATTTTTACCTAATTGAAGAAAGTTTGACTAACGCCAGTTCTCGAGAACAAACCGAACTGCTTAAAAACTAATATTTACAGAATGTGGTAATAGCAGCGGTGTAAACTCACATCCTCAGAGCGACAACTTAGAGGAGACAAAGCTAGCCGACTGCTAGTGTCGCCAGCACCAACTCCATTACGCGATTCAACACCAAGTGTAGTGTCTCTGCCCTCTGCCTCATCTTCAGTTCCTTCACTAAGCATGATTATGGGTACATAGGCCTCCTCCATGGTATACTGGCTCTGTTGCTGCTGCGATTGTTGCTCAAATGACTCCTCGAATGGTTGCAGCACGCTCCATCCCACAGGTCGCTTGTCTAATAAACGCATACGTGACAAGACGATGAATCCCATACACGACCAAGCGAATATTTACTAGTTTCACAAGATAGTTTTGGTTACGTCGATTATATCGACCACGATTCCAGCAAACGTGGTCACTAGGCCAAGCCCTACCGGTTTGTGACAAATGGTTTCGTGAAATTATGTGTCGCAAACCTGTTTGGTTTAGACAAATAAAATAGGTGCGGTATTTCGTAAATGGTCTGAGAGTGAGTGGATATTTGAAGTCGTAGAGTGACTGAATGAAATGTGCCTTTTGCGTGCTAAAACACACAATGGCTTGGAGTGAAGCATCAATTTTAATAGTAGAAGTCAGCCAGACACAAAGCGCTTTTCTCTACAATAACGTTAGAGTCCGCTTGGACGGGTATGTCAGGCGAATCGCAACGGTATCGGAACATAAAAAGAGGACAAAGCAAAAATACCAACTTCTCGTTACACGCAATTTACCCTTTTAGCGAACACGATTACCATTAACTAAATAAGACAAAAGGTATATCAAATGACCTCGTTTCTATGTAAGGCCAACACAGTCGTGGGGACGCACCAGATCCATCTTCACTAACCAATGCATGTAAATGAGCCCGCGTTCGAGCAAACCTCCCAGACATGTTCCTGAATTACAGCTACTTTTCGGCACTAGTGTCTGCATTAATCACGATAACGTGTTGCGTGTAATCCACATAATTCAATTCCATCATTAACTAACGAAGTCCTGTAACTGAAATACGAATTCACCGAAACATCAATTACAGGATGTCATCTGGTAAAACTAACCTAATAGACTTGGAAGACTCCTAGACAAGCAGCGCCGCTCTTTGTACTCATTCCCAAGGTATAGATGAGCAAATAGCCCCTCATCTTCATTTTCATCGACCTCGTTGTCAGTGTCGTGTGGGAAGGAGTAAGAAGTGGGCGAAGTGACGAGTGCAGAATCCTCCTCCTCTCCTGCCGCTAAGGCTCCACCAATAGCAACATTTTTTACTTCGTCATCGTTGTCATCCTTGTTTGCATTTGTAGAGGAGAGCACCGAAAAAGTGGAGTTGTATGGCTGCAGCAAAGATCCCGGTCTTTCGCTTGCCGATAGATCGCAACTACAAAAAAGAATGCATTAAGTCACCAGCCCCCTTAATCAGTAGGCCAAGGCCAGGTTCAATAATAACATGGTTTTACAAATCCAAGGTGGGAAACTTCTATTCGGTTCAGGGGCTTGGCAAGACAGTATGGCTAAGTGAATTTGAGGATTGCTTTCAGATGGCGACGTGTGTTGGTTAGGAAGTTTCTGGTTGGTTATTATAGCTCCAACTACACAGCAACATGTCGCTCCGAGTGGGCAAATGCGCAAAAATCGTCCTCGCTCGACTAAACTTCCAATAAGTTGTTTAGAAACTTGAGTGCGCCGATGTATGCAAGCGTTTGATTGTCGTAGTTTTAAAGCTTAGCTAGAATATGAATGACCACAAAGCCTGAAAATAATCACAAATGCAACGCAAAGTAACAGCAAAAGGCACACATAGACATAGACCGGACGTTAATTAGCCTTTTGCTTGTTCACACAAAAGTCATGAGTCAGTTTTCAAGTGACTGACGAACTAATTAAATCTTTTGTTGAAGTGGCGCATGCAACCATGGTATTTGAATACCTATGTACGACGCCTTTAAATTGTGCACAATGAGGAATTAGTATTGTGCGCAGACTGAGTTGTTAGCACAGATTCAAATACAGAGATAACACAGCCGTTAAAACTGGAAATTTTCACGCAAAGGAAGACTTACCCTCGAGGATACTTTCGAGTTGAGGAGCAGATTGGACTGACAACAATAGGTGAACTTGCCACTCCCGGATTTAACGAGAAATGCGGAGAAAAAAGCAATGCTGTGTTCTTCGACCCACGGTAGAAACGTTTATCCCTAACAGAAGCGCATTCCTCGAAAAAACTCACTTGATTGCTTGTGCTAGATTCATCTAAACGACCAACAACATAAAAAAAGAATAAACAATTAACGTTTTGACGAAATAATGCATGCAAAGAGCCAAAGAAAGTCGCCGCATGCCCCCACCTTTGTGTAAATGCTTAACCCCTACCAACATTCACAGCAAGGAGAGCCTTAACTAAATTAATCCGTTACAAGGATGAGAAAATGGCAATGAATGGGACAGACCTTTGTGTACTCGAACATGACCATAGCAGCAATTCGATGAATTTGCGCGCAGTAGCTACCAAAAATAGAGCTTATCAACGGTTTTGCTGACGAATTGTACCGAGTTTCGCGACCTTTTTCACTCACGTCTCAAAAAAGAGTTACCTTTTTTCTGATTTTTTTAGACGGATTTGGTGAAACGGACGTGCGAACTTTGAACATTGTTTACCATCTAACCTCTTCGTCATGATGGCGTGCTGGATGCTATTTTCACATTTATACCGGTGACGAACGAAAATCAAATTATAAGTCAGTTAATCTGGGAAAATACCTCAATCGGATAATCGACATCAGTCTGTATAGTTATGGGTAAAGCAAAAATACGAAACGAGTGAGCCTGTACGGGATAGTCGTTTAAGGAGACAATAAACGAAAAAAAACTTCCTGAGCATTTACAAAGCATCAGGTTACTAAAACAGTCCCATTTTTTACTCCACCCGTCCGTCTACTCCTAAAACTATTTCGAAATGGATTCGTCAAACGCAAGAAAATGCAGTGAAAGGGGTGCGCAAAAGATGAGTCAAAAAAGAGTTATTTGTCTATCTCCAAAAAGCCTCCGATGAAGAACGCGACGAGTAAGCTAATGTAAGCACGAATCGATACTCTGTATGCGAATTGACATCGCAAAGCTTAAGCTTATGAAGCGCCAGAATTTTGCTTACAATTTCTAGATTTGAGAATAAAGTTATTGCTCCAGTGAACTTTAGACAACGTAACAAGTCGACAAATAATAACGAAAGGGCGACTTATTAAGCAGCCAAACACAAATATGTGATTTCTACAATCGATTCCAGCCTTCAGTCAAATTCACTGCTACCGGTTATCTCGGAGGCAAAACTGTTGACGGGACACTCGGAATCGCAAGCAAAGTGGCGATCCTAATAAGCGAAACGCTTATACCCAGAATCACGTGATCGCCACGCACACGCCCGTACTAATTACACGCATATACATATACACACGCACACGGAAGCGCGGACGTACGCGTAAATGGATGTACCATGTTAACACTAGGACAGGGATGAAACAAGACTTTAGTAGGCGTGTACAGTCTACTACGAATGGCGTCGCAGCTTCATATTAAGTGGAATGGAAATAGGATGTGTCAAATGACAAAAGTAGGAGAAATGGCCCAAAGCACCCGCTAAATGGGGAACTACATGGGTGGTCATTCACATCATCACATACGCCATCAAAACCTTCGAAAAAACCACAGCCATCCCATCAAAGTATCCACCAGCTAGACAAACCATTGAGGAGCATTCAAGTAATCTGCATTAATTCATTACGATATTAACGGATAAATTTTTAGGCGCAGTCATATTCACAAAGAAAGGTTGAGGATGCAGCAGCATGACAAAAATAATTAAATATGCGCAAAAGCCATGTTATCTGTCCCTTAGATAGTCAACCTTACCTCTCGATTACAGGTTGAGGAACCAAAAAACGAGTACGCACGCAGTTTAAGAAAAGTCACCAAAAGAGTCAGGATGCCTCATTTCGTCACGCAGTCACACACACGCACACACAAACCGGTATATAGTCCAAGCATTCATCGTTTGCAGTAGTAAATTTGCTCCAAATGTGAAGCAAGAGTCGCATCAGAGTAAATGAAAAAGTTACCTTTGGAGGATTCAGGAGGCTGTGGGATGAGAAGGCATTGCACTAGATTGATAGGCAAGGGGAAAGAAAACGAGCGACACTGACATCGAATGCATCGCTCAGCGAGAGGAGAGGCCGGTCCATGGCGATGGCAACGGTGTCGTCTAAGTCGGGCATTATCCGAGTCGCTGACGAAACCCGACTCGCCACTGGCTGTAAAGTATGTGCAGTGATTGGGATAGTGACTTCTTTCAGGCTGCCTCAGGCATTGCATGCATGGAAGACAGGAATCGGATCTTGATGTTCGCAGACGTTGGCGCCAGCAACACAGACCGCTAACGTTACCATCAGGTTGAGGAGCCGGATTAGAGGTGGAGAGGGAAATGGAATTTAAATTTGGTTTTGGAGAACTGAATCCCACTGAAAATGGCTAAAATGTCAAATGAACCATCAGAAAAAAAAGCATTGATGTGGTTGCTTTTTAAGCACAATAGCTTTGCGACTTGCTTTCAACGTCTCATAGTAACTCAGACTTGCACAAAAAGGTCCGCTTCCATTAACGACTTTGATTCATCTCATCGGTATTTATCTTGGCTTCAATCCATATCCACCGTACAAAAGGACAAATTTCAGAAGTGAAATTGACAGGTATCTTTCTAAGTAATTCATGCGACATGTTATGGCGAGTGCAGAAAATAGTTCCACTGGTAAGAGGATATGCACTCAATTCTACTTTATGCAAAAGACAAAACGGGAGTAATTGAACGACAAAAAAATATCCCTACAATTATATTCCATAAAACTTGTGCATGTGCGGTCAGTATTCAAACCTTATCTTTTACGCTTTTGGTTAGAAACCTGCCGACTATCATTGTTAATCCTTTAGTTAGCTCTGTGAACTGCGTAATCGATACAATAGCCATCTGATGTGTCAACAAGCCTCTTGCTTCTGCATCTTCATAATTGACCGTCCAAATCTTTTGTTATTGCATTTTTGCTAATTGTAATCCATGGCGAAATAAAAACTGAACTCCCTCCAATTAGGAATGTAAAAGTAGGATTCTACCCCCAAATATTCACCAATAGATGAATCTTCTGCAGTTGTAAAGACTAGTTATTTTCTAAAATTAAGGAGATCGGACTTGAATGAATAAAAACAAATTGAGTTCTTATAAAGCATACCGAAACCATGTACAAATCAGCCTAAGCATGTGAAATTGCGAGCTGCTGACCAGTTGACAAGTGTTGGCAAGTAACAATTAAAGAATATGCAATACATCTAAAAGCTCACCTGGTTGGAACCGTTACCAATAAACGCCAGCTTGAAGATCTCCCGCAGTTCAATCTGTTTCAGCCAGACCTCGTGGACACCGCCAATCAGATCGAAGACCTTGGCTGCAGTAGACGTTACGATGCCGGCTCTGCACGGGGAGAGATCAAACCAGGGTTTTTCCGTCTTCTCGCCTTCCAAGTGGCTCATTAACTCTCGAACATTATCCAGACGTCGGGAAATTTTCTTCAATTTCAAATGTTCAATCTGCAAATGGTATATAATGCCGCTATTTTTCTCATGACATTCACTAGGAGCAAAATAGCAACTGTGATAGCTCTTGAGTAGGAAAGCTCACCCATATCGAGCAGCAAAGTAGGACGGTTTGTAACAACACCCAATCCACAAAAACAAACTAAAACAAGACTCCCATGGCAGTCCTCCATGGTGCCCTTTGTTTGCTCTTGGGCACAGGATATGACAATCGAGACGCTAGTGGCCAAAACAATATGCAAAAACTGGAATTCAACGATGCACCACAATAGCGCCAAGGCAAGAACTTCACACCAGATGCTACAATGGTCACTTTACTAGTGATGAATGTACATGTATTCCGTGTCTACAGGATTAAAGTACCTAAGTTTATTCTGACAGTGATAAGCCTTTACTCGAAGAACACAAATTAAGAGCTACATAAATCAACTTATAACTATGGGTGGAATTATTAAATATATGTGAGCTTTGCTAGAATCGAGTTCAACTGTCGTGGAAGGTTATTCACATCAAACCTGACGACAAGACACTAGTGGTCATTATAAATGTGAACGAACTCCTTTCAACAGATCCGTGGCTGAAAGGCAAACCAACGAGGGTAGTTGAACTGATACAATTCAGTGGAGAGCTAAATCCTTTCAAAACAAAGCACACGTGTTATCCATACGCATACTAACATGAAACACCTTTCAACCAAAAAAATATGAATGGATTCCGTACTCTTTCAATTGAAAGTCCGCAAATTGATGCAGTTAGGGCAAGTAAACACGAAACTATGGCCCACATGTCTGAAAGGTCAGCAAGATTAGGCCAAAGGAGGGGATTTAGAGGAAATGGGATCAGTGCTGAAACCGTACGGGAGAATGAATCAGCACCCTTGATTCGACCCTAGTGATTAAATGAGGTCATCATGAGCAAAATAGATGGTAGAGGGTCAACGCAGCCTCCTTCTCGGAGCAGGGAAACGTTTACTTCAAAAATAGTTTCAACAAGAGAAAAGATCATCGTCGCCTGACTAGAAATATTCGTTCATACTGCCAGAATAAAATATCATGTTGCAGCATTTTTGGATTCAGTCGTTGGTCGTAATAATACTGAAAAACAGCTTGAATATAACACCACAGACTTCTTCTCACACCTATTTTTCAAACAAATTAAAGGGGTAACCAAGACTAAAAGAACTATGCGATCTGGCAGATAGTCAGCGGAAAAAGTAGTACAGGGTACAAAACTCCAAAAAGAGAAGTATCGCATAGAGCAGACACCATTCGCGATCAGGAAATCTGAAGGCGTCATTATAACAAGTGCTTGAATCGTATGTGAACTACGGTATCTTTGATCTCAACGGTAACTGCGCCCTAAAAGAAGATAGGATAAAGTTTGCCAATCACAAAAAGGTAAAAAAGTAGAAATTATGAGTTCGCCTAAATGAGTCTGAGTAACCACAATTTGTGGGAAAATCGAAAGTGTGATGCACATTCTTTCCTTAAAAAAACATGCCTAATGGAAAAAACAACTAAACACTTATGACCTCGACGTCTGGGAAAGGAATCGAATCCAACCCCAGGCCTGGGTAAAAAGGGGTATAATATATGACTTAATGACTCATCATACCGATCTGCCTGTTGAAGAGACATCAACCATGACTTAATTTATGGAACACGAAAACAAAAGTACATGACATAAAGCAAAAGGAAGAAATGTAAAACAGCAGACCGATATTAGTACAAGCATGAGCACCAACTAGGATTAAATTTACTAAGACCGGAATAAAAGTGCTTTTCAACAGAGTAAGATCGAACCTGGAGTAGCAGAGCACCCATGGTAGTAGTCTTTGTTGTGAGCAAGGCAGCGAGCGCATAGTCAAACCACAAACGAGGATGAACGATAAAAAGTCAATTTGTTTAACCACTTGAGAGAAATGAAGGAAACAGTACATTTTTGAGAGCCAAAGCACTATTTGCAGACGCCATGTACAAACACACACAACTAGCGGAATTGTTACACATGAATCAAGATGAACAGGCACAGTTTAAAAAGGTCCATTACCTTCAGTACCTTGTGGGCTTCCTTGTCAATCGCTCCTGTCAAAGTCTGCCGCGAAAGACGATAGATATCATCAGTTTCTGCAAAAGTTACAGCCAAAAGAGCGATTGACACCCAAACCAAACTGGAGTAAGGTACAATCAATACCAAATTAGGATTTTCTTAAGTGACTCAAGTGTACACCGAGTAAATGGGCAGCGATCTGAGACAGGATGTGGTAACCATTGACAAATGCCTAAGGATAGGCTACGAAGAAAGGACAACGTCGGAAAGGCACAGCAAAGACGATAGTGCAACTGGCTCATTAATTAAAAGCACTTAATCGCATTTATTGTGCTAAACTGATGACGGAATTGAATTACCGCACTCATAGCCACAGGTCGACAGGTTTAAAAATACATGGCTAATTCCAGACATATAAATCAATCAGAACGATAAGAGTATACAAAAGATTGCTATCATCTTCAATTTCAATCGATAACAACAAGTACCACAGCGCTGCGAGATAAATGACAATTCAATGCCCAAACTTCCATATAATCATCAACCCACATGCTCGATAAGTCGAAATAAAAGAATACAACAGGCATATAACCCATAACAAGATTTACCAGTGAAGAGAGGTTCCGACAAATTCTAGATTTGCAATCGCATCGATTTTAGCATAAAGTCTAACATGGGACATCATATTGAAGCTAGATGAGAAATCAAGAACAAGTACCGAGCTAACAATACGTTTCCCAAGCATCAGCGACGAAATGCATCGTTGTCCAAAACTCATATGCATATTTGGGAAAATATACAGTGACCAATTGCGTAACCATCTCACTTCCTATCGTCATGACAACTAAATAATGAAGACACTAAACGGAACGTTAAGGGCACCAAACATTTGTGCTTTCACAAGTTTGGCGACAGTAAATAATTGCAAGCAATGTTTAGAAGCTTTACCGCAATATAGATCCATGCTAAGCTCAAATCTAGGATTGACTGATCGATAACGCCAGCTTATCCAATCAGAGAAAGGGGAAGTCGCAAAATTAAAAATATGCCCATGCGCAAATGTTAACCCTTAGTATGAGTAACGCCCACATGGAATAAATTGTAATAGCTAGCTTGCAAGATTCATCATAAACGTTTTTGAGAATCATTGCAACCAAACTCATTACCACCAAAATTATCGGCTATATTTATGCGACACCAACGGAAAAAGCGATCCAATTCCAACTCTCCAGAGTTCGATTTTATAACGTCTGAGGAAAGCTAAGCTTTTCGGTTAAGAGTTTCCATGGTTTCAAAGGTAAACATGTACCGATTACTTCACCTTAAAACGCATATTAGCGGTTCTACGCCTATTAATACAACATACTTCACTGTCTAACGCCGCGTAATCAAATTATGATGGGAATTTGTATGCTAAATTGGGCCGCTGAATTAAGGAAAATAAAGTAAGCTTCACTTTTTATCCGTTTAAGGTAGATTAGCCACAAAAAAAACGCTTATGGTGAGTAAAAACTATTCTAAATGAACAGGAGCAAGACGATAATAACGACTTGATTAAAAGTAATTTGTAAAATAGCAACTATCAAAACCAGGATATAACCTGTAACGCATTAATGGACGCACCAAGCGCTTAAAATAGGGTACAAAAAACGCGATGGAAGCAAGCAGAAGAGTTAAAAGAAGACCTTAGAACCACTCAACAACCAAAATGAAAAGTCCGTTGGGATTTTACGAAAATATGACTTACTCTCAGTTACTTCAGCAACCAAAGCTGAAAGCAGTGAGACCTCCTTCTGGAGAGCTGAAAATGAAACGGAGAAAACGCAAACACTGGAGTATGGTTAGACACAGCCGACGTCGCAATAACCTAGTATTAAAGCGGAAAACCAAACTCACTTGATAAAACGACAGGTTCATTAATACTCTCACTGAAGGACTGAAGTTGGGAACCAACCTTGAACCAGAAACTGTCTACCTGCCTCAAAATTTGAGCATAGTCCTTTGCCAACACGGTACGAGGCGAGAATGGTGTATTATGAGGGGCAGATTTGGAAGAATTTTCCCCCAGAAACGGTAGGGTCACAGATAACGAGACAGGGCGCGCAAAGAGGGATAATTGTTCCGTAAATAAATGCACATGACTATAGTTTGACTCAAGTGCAGCAAAAATACCAAAGTATTCCTAAAATCACAAAATACAAAATGTTAACCGGGAGTAATGTTACAAACGGACACCACCGATTCAGCGGTTACCAGTATTTATTGTAACCACATGATTCGACTCATGTACCTTAAAAACCAACAGCGACTGAACGCTTCGATGATCAAAAGGTTTGTTCTGAATAGTCTTTGCAGCTAGCTTCAACCAGCTTAGCAATCGGTGTGCTTCATTTTGAAAATCAAAAGTCACTTTCGCGAAGGGTATGAAGTTCAAGGTACTCTTGTTATTTTCCTCTTCGTCGTTCTAAGCGTCGCGTGTCAACCAGAAACTTACCTCAGACACTTCAGCCAACCTTCTCACAGCACTTTTGCACTCCTGAAAGAGAAGCTCGAAACTCTCCGATAGGAGAATCTTGTCGGGAATTGAATAATCACCAAACTCCTGTTGGACAGCATCATTGACCTCTGCTAATGGACTCCCCGACCCTACGCAACAACAAACAGAATCACCCATCTTTCATTTTCCGTAATGCGCACACCTAGCACTGACAATCGATAATAGCTTGTTAAAACGATATTTCTGAAGGAAAAATTAAGCCAAATAAACCAGAGAGTCTTAGGAAGCTCTTATTTATACGTCGTAAGTTAAAAACAGAATTCTACATTACACTTAGATGTAAATGTCGAACGTAAATGTATATACTGTGTATTTTTAAAATTATTTTTGCAATATACATGACATTGAAAATCGCATCACTATTACCATGCATAAATGGTTCAAAAAAAAATCGCAAGAAAACCTAACTTTCATTGTTATTTACTAGGCTGTCAATGTCGAGCTTTCTCGAATTCGTATGTGCTCTAAGCATTGTAGGATAAAAAATGGATTCCCAACCCTTAGAGAAGCTAAAGGACTAGTGTCATGACCTAATGCCATAAAATACTGTGTATTTACAAAGTTTTATCCTCCTCTTCCCAGAACTGCTCTCTGTATTTCTCATCTTCGCATTTGTCGGTTGTCATAGTATAATGACTGCCTCATTAACCACTCCTTTAGAAGACATAGGAGCACTGATAACGCATGGTGGGTTCATAAACGTCACTTGTAGGAATGATGCAGATATACGATTCTAGTGGAGCTTTGAACCACATTTTGGACGGTTCCCGTGGCCCATAATTGAAGTGTTTCCTGTTCCTATTTCCGTTAGCAGATGTCTCGTACCCCTTGTTGTTCCAACTCAATCCCTATTAACTACAATCCATCCAAAGGAAGCCAAGATGAAAGAGAGGCCGAGGCTACAACACTACCCTGTATGTTGGACTGCCAGCACCATTGGAGATGGCAGCAGCAATATTTTTCTATTGGGTGGTTAACCTTCGAATTGTCTTAAAAAATGAAGTTTGGCGCGTATTATTCTGAGTCTCAAGATATTCCGTTGGGTGTACATCGTGGTTGATAGCTTCACTTATGAGCCAATCGTCGCAGTCCATATTAATTTTGGAAGAGGGAAGTCCTCTTGGCTGCTACTTGGCTGAATGCACATAATTTGGAAAAGAAGTTAAAGCTGGACTTTGGGGTTTGTCCGAAGGCTATCCCACCCAGCATAAAAAATATGGTCGTTAAAGGCTCCATTCGGTTCCATAATTCAAGAAAAGTTAGTATAGTGTGACCTACCAAATTGCTATGCTTCATCATTGGGAGCCTACGGCTTTGCTTGCACAAGGTAGATTCGCATCGACATTTGTGGTAAAATTTACCTTCCACTTATTGATAAGGATAATAACCCCTCTTAGCCCAATTAGTTTCCTTTGGTCAATGATGCAACACTCCACGGTCTCCTGCTATCTTAATGCAGCAGAACGGTGCTTTCACAATTCAAATGCACTAGCCACACCAGATTCAATACCACCAACTAACTTACACCCGTATTGACTAAAATGCATAATGCTTGCTCAAATATTTTTTTGGCTATTTACGTTATAATCACGCACGACAAGGTATGCGCCAATGTCTTCTTCATGTAACAGCCGCCTTCTGTTACTTTCTTACTTTACTGCAACAAAAATTAAGCCCATAGTAGTTTTAACGCACATAAAACAAATTAACGAACCACACATATCAATATCTTTATTAAATGCAATTGAATGTAACCTGCTCATTTTAACATCCGCACATTTGGATTATTTAGGGATAAGGAGTTTTAATGGATCCGTATGTCACTCACTTTGTCGTTCTAGCATTTTAACTAATTGTCCGATCATCTAACTTACTAAAATACGGATTCGAGTAAGAAATTCTTCAAAGTCTGTCTAAAGTCGTACCTGAATCTGAAGTTATTGTAAAGCACAATTAATCCCATGGCTCATGATGAAGTCGCCTCCAATTTAACCCATTTTAATGGCTCTCCAGATTCCCATAAATCTTGTTAATACCTTCTATCCATCTTGTTTACTGATAACAAAGCTTCATTGCACAGTTCTTCATGTCTATGCAACTAGATTTTGCCTATAACTAGTTTGTACTCTGCGCAGACAAGATGTTTCCTACCTCACAAAGGCCCACTACAAAATGATTATCCCTGGCTCAGAACAAGCCTCGAGCCATTCATTAACCTGGCGCCTTCATTCCTCACTAGCTCCATGTGAACTCTCCCTATTACCTTTAAACGGGTCCTCATTTCAGCAATTTTAAGATGTGCGTTAATGTGCTCGACTTAGCTCTGAGATTACGAGATATGCTAGCTATGGGTTAGCCTCGTTAACGAAAGAAAAGGATGCTATTTTAAGCCCTCTTCTTGAAGGCCAAGCCTACTTAATTCAATAGCATGATATCTTTGGTTAATCTTCTTCCCTGTCGGCACTATACGGTCTTTCCCGCCTTCCATAGAAGCCTTGGCTGCTACACCATAATGGACAGCCAACGCTGTTCTATCTGAAGCGTATGAACTGCGCGTGTCACTTGGCTCGCCAGGTTGGTGTGGTGGGTAACACGGCTTAAGAAGCTGTACTTATAGGCCATGTCGGCAGTCCCCTCGCCAATGCTACTGCATGTCAGCGACATACATTCGGTCCAAGTATAGGCTTTAGGTGAGAGTCATTCCAACTTGATTTTTTCAACCGTAGTTGAGTTCGAGTATGCATTGTCGGGAAGTAGTGTACCAAAATGGGGTAAAATAAGGGCCCATGCATTGCTTTTCACTGAAATGGGAATAACTAGTGACTGCGCAGTCCAACGCTCACAGGTACTGCCTTAAAGGGCATTTGTAGCGTTTAAAATCCATCTCTGTGCTAACCAAATTAAAAGCGTTTTGAGTAAACTAAATACTGTTTAGATGTCCACGTCTAAAAAGTGCGGCTGACACCCATTTGACTAATCCACTTCAGTGGAGCTGTGATTCTGTTGAAAGTTTTCAACCAATCAAACAAATTGCTCATAAATAGATCAGGCGTTTTAACTGCTGGACCCGTAAGTTGATGGTATGACTCATTCACGCTTTCGAGATTTTCGTACAAATGCTCAAAGCCACCAAATCGATACAGTATTGATTCTAACCTCTAAAAGTTGGCGAGGCGGCAGCGAAAGCGCACATATTAATGGACGTACTCGGGAAATTAAATCACGCACCCACAATGGTAAAATGATTATTGTGTAAGAGGAAATTCTTTCTTAATCCTATTTTTAGGCTTAAATTGGAAACAGCCCTTAATGACCCTCCAATAGGGTGCTGTGTGTGCATGAGAAACATAAATGACAGAGGCTGACTAAACCCTCACGGGGTCGCGAACTAGGTCAACTTCAAAATGACTCTAGCACAAAACTCTTCTTTGTGCACGAACACATGTGCATACGTGTCCTAGTCACCTCGCTTTAGCACAAAATGCAGAATTTTGCGCTGTTAGAAACGCCTTTTCTGCTAATTGAGGCTGTATCATTTTACACCCTGGAAATAGTGTTGGCCGCAAGGCCGCACTCTGGCAAGATTCGGGTGAAAAATAAGTCACGTACTGAAAACCATTTTATTAATGTCACAGCAATTATGCATCAAGTTGTCTTAACGAAATCTGCATTCGTTTGCCAGATTGTTTATTTTTTCGGCTCCAAGCTGGAACAAAAGTTTCTCTCTAACCTTTGGACAACGAATTATGACCTCTTCGTCTTCAAACGCAAATTAGTATCCAGGCTATCTGTCCACCTCTTTCTTGACAAAAATTTTACCTTTTTAAACAGGATCGGTGCACTTAACCACATCGATCAATGTCAAACTGTGGTACAACCACTCCCACACCTTCCTACGGACAGGTTTTACCACAAGCACTGAAGACTTCCCTGCACACATTCTCTTCATGCTGATTACTGTTCAACAAGGTGGAATGGTGATCACCCCGAGAGGTGAGCTCATGCATTTTAGTCAGGCAACTCGTCCTTTGCAGTGGTGACCGTGGCGCGCTCACCTGTTTGGGACTCCCACCAATTCAATAGCACATACTTTAGGCCTTAGCGAGCGGATTTTCAGAGTTTGCTGAAAATGCTTAATCATGTGTGTGTTTGTACTCCACACTTTCATTTGAAATCCGCCATTTTTGTGCTCTGGAGGCATTTGGTTGTCTTTTTGATAAGCAGTAATATGAATAGGAGTTTGGGAAATGGGTGCAAATTGATGGAGCTACGCTTGTACCAATTACGACAGTGTCGATGTAGCAAAAGTAGTTGCGTACATCACAAATAATGCGGAGTTCATTTCATGTGTCTGGCAACAAATGCGCCAGTAAACGGCTGCGCTTGTTAATTATTTGTGCTTTAATTATTTACTTAAATCTTTATTTTGGCTAAGAAGGTACCTAGGCTCTTCATCTCTCCTCCTGAATCCCCACTGCACACCCTGAATGTCGAGCCATGCTAGCATTCCGCATCTCAGCCCTTCTCAACATAGGCAGTGCATAGCCTCCCCTCATATTAGCACTTCATCTCGTTTCTTGAATTGTTTTAAGAAAAGTGCTGCAATGACCCAGAGGAGGCCATTCCGCGTGGCAGAGGTGCAGTAGCAAAGACCTAAGTGACCGGTTACAAAAACGGAGAGTTAAACAAACACTCAAAGGACCATAACACTCCATCTTTCACCAACCCCTCAAGCGCCATTCACACACGCCTTAGAGGGCAGTTTGACTAAATAAAAATCGCAGTGATTAGTCATGACTTGAAATGCCTCCAGAGCACGAAAATGGCGGATTTCAAATGAAAGTGTAGAGCACAAACACACACATGATTAAGCATTTTCAGCAAACTCTGAAAATCCGCTCGCTAAGGCCTAAAGTATGTGCTATTGAATTGGTGGGAGTCCCAAACAGGTGAGCGCGCCACGGTCACCACTGCAAAGGACGAGTTGCCTGACTAAAATGCATGAGCTCACCTCTCGGGGTGATCACCATTCCACCTTGTTGAACAGTAATCAGCATGAAGAGAATGTGTGCAGGGAAGTCTTCAGTGCTTGTGGTAAAACCTGTCCGTAGGAAGGTGTGGGAGTGGTTGTACCACAGTTTGACATTGATCGATGTGGTTAAGTGCACCGATCCTGTTTAAAAAGGTAAAATTTTTGTCAAGAAAGAGGTGGACAGATACCCTGGATACTGAGCCACGGCCACAATTCTCAAGCTGCGATATATAACCAACCTTGCAACTAACAGCATCCTCTAGCATCGGCTAGCTATTGAGCCCACAGGTTCTTCTAATTGGAATAAATTTCCTTTTTTTAATTTTAATCTGCCTATGCAACGGTAGGTGAATTAATTTTTAGCTGACCTTTTTTCATAAAATTTTCTCGAACGTAAAACACCCATTTCCGAAGTTTCATTAAAATCGTAGAACGCCTTTAACTCTCGTTCCCTATGGGTTTCACAGCTACGACAAACAAACCAGTGCCTTCACAACCGCTTTAAAATTCGGGATGGGATGTTTTGCTTCCACGGGGTCGCCCAGCTTCTTCTACCCCAAAAGGAGATCCTGGAACTCCTGTCTTTAATCGTAAATATTTATTTGGACGTGGCATAGCTAAATGCTAAAAAAATCACTTCTTTCTACATGCGGAAGTATCCATCAAACGACAAAATTCTGGAGTGCAAATCATCCACCTTAGAACAACTGCATTTTTACTAGACTGGGTCTCAGTGTAGACGATTCCGCATTTCCTTCAGTTACTCACGTTCTTCGAAGCAGTTTGATCGATGCAAAAAACGCGCACCTTCAGGTAGAATCGGAAGCTTAATCGCATTTATGATTTTGAGGAGATGATTTGTTGTGATCTGACCCAATTCCTCAGAACTCGCAAGAGCAAATTTGGTGAGGCAAACGATAAGAAGGTAGGGGGTTGGCATAACGCTAGCACGCAATTTGGTGTTAAAACAAGCATTGGGGCGACATCGTTTAAACTACGGAAAGCTATTCGTCCACGGCGACTTTCCCGACTAATAAAACTGCAATTAATCCGACCCGCGGGAGCTCCTCAGCATGACACCCATTACGTGCAGCGTGATTGCCATCGCGCCAATCACCCGAGCGTCAGCTGTCGTGTCACTCAGACCTTAGAATATCTCCAAGCACGTGGATGACTACCTTGGAAGCAATGAATTCCGACCAGGTAACACTTCAAGAGTAACCCCACCTCTCCTCCAGCAAGTACAACTTGAAAACAGTTAGCCTAGTTTACAAAACGCAAGACCTTAAACCTATGACCAGCAAATGGGATGACCTTACTTAACCCTGCGCAAACTTAGTAATCACACGAAAAGAGTCCGCCTTGCAAAGCCTTGCCAAAAAAGGTGAGCAGCAGCCAATACCGACTTTCAAATCAAGGTGGTAATGTAGATTGTTACGCCTCGACGAAAGCATTAAGTGACTTTCGCAGAACTGGTTCAGCCTACGATATTAAAATTAATCTGATACTTTAAACCAGCTTGAATAATGTAAGAACAAGAAGAAACATTATCTGTCCACAAATAACACCTTTTTACTATATACACATTTAAAACGGAGCATTATTTACGAGGGAGAGATTCAAACGGGCATCAATTATGTACACATACACTGGACACTATACCATTACATCAATCACTGCTGCCAAAGAGGGAAAGGGTGAGGGAGAGCAGGAATTACGCTTGCACGTGTGAGTGAGTCAATGGTTGCGTTGAGAGCTCTTATTATTTAAAAAACAAACAAACAAACATCCTGACTTCTCAAGACTAAAATTTGCACGACAGTTGGTACGACGCCCCGCTATGCTGCCGAAACCTACTGCATGCGTTAGTAGCAGTAGTCACGGCAACGCTGGAGGCGCGCTCACGCGCACATATTGATTCGTTACGACGGTCGCGCACGCAACACAAGATTACGCGTACCCACACGGCAAGGTCACGGACCCCACCAGCCAATCAGGCTCGCGATCGATAAACAGGCAATGTGCGCACACGCACGTAAGAGCGTAGATACGTGCAGGCTAGCCTCCCCACGCCCTCACGCACATGCATTCGTGTGGTGTGCGTGTATATGTGGGTGGATGCATATGCGACTGCAGATCGCACTTCTCTTGCATGTTGTGGAGGAGAGGGAGCTGCTGTGCTACGACTCGCCTGAATGGATGGATGGATGGATGAATGAATGCATGGGTCCGGGATGGACGGATAGACACACAGATCGAGGATCGCCTCCTTTTTTTCCTTCCTTTTTTTACCGCTGCATTTCTCTACACGACAACAATAAGCATAAAGGGCATCGCACTCTGCGTCAAGGTTTGTTGGAGCTCTGGCGAGAGACATCGCAATTGAGCAGTTGTGAAGTCACATGGCGGAAAGATGTGCATCACAAAAGGGTTCTATAAAACAGAAACAAGCATAACACCACAACGGGGCCACACCAGCAGAGAAGGAAAATATTGGGTAGGCGAATCTTCTAGACACGTAAAAAAGAGCTGATTTTTTAAATGTCATTCAGGGTCTATTAGTTATAGCGGTACCATTCCAAAAATGCACACACGGCTATTAAGCCCGTTACGAGACTTATAACTACGCCGTAGTAACAAACCATAACTTCCATCAAGTCATTGGGCGTGTGCATAAACAGGTGACGAAAGGTAACATGACGACGACGATGATGATGATAATGCCAATTATGCAATGACCTCCGGCTAATGTCTCCACAATAGGTCGGTCGTTTGGATAAAAATGTTAGCCTAGCACTTGGAAGATTAGGAGTGCAACGTCTCACCAGTTGTGCTAACCACAAGTCAATCCCGGAGGCAACAAATCGGTGACCATTCCTCCAAAACGAAATTAATCAGAAACAATGAAACAGCCATCACTTTTAAGAGCGATGGAAAAAACTGATCAAACTAACCCACAAAAAAACAGCTACAACTTTCTATTTGCTGTCGCAGTTCACTGTCATTACACTAATATTTACACTTGAACAAGCCAAATAAAAAAGCTAAAAAACTTCCGGGTTTACTGTTATCGTCTTCGATTAGCAAAATCAAGTTTGGCCATCAAGCCCCCACAACCCTAGAAATTTGATCGTAAAGTCAGGCCGAGGAATCTCTTGCGAATCGGAAAAACAAATCACACAATTGTATCAGGCCACTAACAGCTACCAAGGCCGAATAAAATGTATGATAATATTAAATACGCCAGGCCATGGAAGGTAGGGCTATGGCATGGCTAAACGAACTCACCTCTTGAGAGGAGGGGCAGCTGATAATACCAGCAGCAGTTTTGTCCTGTAAGTAAGTGATGACATTTTGCAGGACCATGTTCTGCTGGGTAAAGTAACTATCTTCCACGTAGGTCTGTCGTGCATTATTGGCAGCAGCAGCAGGATGAGTGGGAGATGGGGGAGGAGGGGAGCCCGCAGCAAGAGCCAGGCACATGCAATAGTTGGCAGGCTCTCGTAACTTCCACTGCACCGCCTCCAGTTGGGAGTTCTCCAACCGCATCCGCTGGGCTATCCGCAACACCCACGTCGCTCCACCTGTTTCGTCGTTCACTGCAGTCATCAATTGTAGGCATGTTCGAATCAAGTCCTGATTACCTGCCAGATAAAGCATTCGTACTGACGCTCGC